AACATAGCTGTTAACTCTGCTCTAGAATCCTGCTGTTTCTGCTGCCTCATTCTTGCTTTGGTGCTCTTGTTCGTAGAGTGAATCATGGGACCTCACCACAATCTTGAGTCTTGAGGTCCCGAATGTATGAAACCCTTGAGATGTTGGCTTACCTTCGAAATACGCCGTTACTGCTACTTGTAAGTAGTTTCCTGGTATCAGGTCATTGGGCATAGGTACTTATTCTCAGGTGAGCGATGGGAGTCCCCAATCCCCACGCCCTGCAAACTCTAAAGGCAAAGCAAACTCTAAAGCCCTTAGCCTTAATTCAAGCTGGTTCAAGCTCCAAACCGGATTGGAAACCCTACGCCAGCCCCAAAGCTCTATACCCCACAACGTAGAACCCGGAGGAGACTCCTAAGCAGGAGCAAACAGGCGCTCCCAAGAAAGAAAGAACAACTTACAACCTAGAACCCGTAAAACCAGAGAACCCGAGCAGGTCGTCAAGTCCCTGGCCAGACTCACCATGCTTCGGCCCCGCGGGTCGAGTCCTCAGCTTTCGGGTTTTAGGCTTTCTGGATTTTGGGGTTTCGGGTTTTGATTTTGGGTTTAGGGTGTTAGGGGTTTAGCGTTTAGGGGTCTGGCGGTGGTGGCAGTAGCAGTAGTGCTAGTCTGCTAGTGGTGGAGAAGCCAGAAAATGAAAGCAAGTCGGATGGGACATCTCTGCCGGTGGTGTATATACATATTTGTAGACTCATAGTCATAGACCAACTAATCGGAGTGATGATGGTGCTGCCATGATGTCCCGCCAATTCCAGCTTCGGATTCTGAGTTTAGGGCCCAAGAATCTGCGCCACGAGGAATCCGACTTTGAGCTTGCGGACCAAGCCCCAGCTCCCATCACATGTCCGGGTTTCCTCACGTTACTTCCTTACATCCTTTGCTGTGTGTTTTCGCTGTAATTATACTTGTACGTTGCTTTTTCTCACAGTCCTTACAACCTCTTGCCGTTTTCTGCATTATGCTCTCTTCTGTGTCATCCATCGTGCTGGAGTGAAGGGATCTCAAATCAAGCGGTCTGGCTCGCAATGTTGAAACCAAACCCTTCAAGCCCAAAGCGCAAAACCTCTCTACGAAAAGACCTTGCTGTCGGGAAGCTTCATACGAGGTCGTTTGCCGTACAGGAACATGGTGCAGAGGACCGTTGTCCATCCGGGACGGTGTTGGGAATGTAGGTTGTGTGAATAAGGGCACCATACCATGGGGCTTGGATGAGTCCTAAATGCAGCCTCCTTAACCCTAAACCCATTCTGAAGGATAACTGCAACATTCCAGACTGATAAGAGGCGCCATGGTTTGACCTCCCGTCGACGGGCTTCCAGGATTTCGTCACTTGCCCCCACGTCTCCTGAATGATCCTGGATGCAAGCCTTGGCTTGCGGTGAGCACAACCAAAGCACACTAGGCTGAAGTGTTCACCAAGCACGAGAAGGCCCCCAAGCCCCAAACCCAAAACTCTACTTCGAGAACGCTAAATCCTGACAGCCAAAAGCCAGAACTGCGCACTCTAATAAAATGTCAACCTCTATAACCCTTTGTCCGAGTTGTGAGCGCCGAAGCCCTAACCCTACAGTCCAGTCTTTCGCTGCCTTCCATGCTGCCAGGGCTCTCCCGGTAAGGGTGGAAGCAGCCCGCGCGCCTGGCTTAACTTCGACCTCAGAGGGGTGCTCAAGAGTGAGGCCCAAGGATTGCGGCTCCTTATAAAGCCAGCCGTGAAAGCCATCGACTATAGGCCATAGAGTGTCGCATGGGCATTTCGGCAGCATTCGATTTGCATAACTTCAAAGTTGGGGCGGGGGGGGGGGGGTTAGGGATTTTGCGGAGTTTTAGTCTTTAGAAGATTCGATGTTCGGTTTGCTCAGAATTGGGACACCGTTGAGGGTGTTTAGAGGGGATGTCCAAATTGGTAGGGCTTCCTTATGGACCGGCCAGAAACTCAGCAACCAGGTTAGCGATTCGGCTTTGTACATTGTTCAAGACGGATACGAGAGGGGTTCTGGTCCCGCTGGTGTCTGTAGCCGGGTGATCTGGGCATATCTGGACTTGACCGACAAAACCCGACGTGTCCAAGTGCCTCAAATCATGGATTCCTTCAAACATTGACCTACTGTACTAGCGCAAGTACATACTTTATGGGCCCCTCTCCGACCGTCAGGGACCTTACTAAGGAGGCAGACAACACTCAAATACTACAGGGCCCCAATGCAGAGGTGCCCTGAGGGAAGTTCTAACAGCCGCTGGAACTCCGAGACACCAGCACTTTGAGAGCACTCGGGCGTGACCGTCAAGTCCCTATATACGCTAAACTCCCTAGGGCAACCCTAGAGGCTAGCAGGCTGCTCTGCTTCAAGCTCCTGAAATCACGGATGGCAGGTCCGATGGTTCCGCCTCGCCGGAAGGCTTTGTGCTCGGGTTGGGTTTAGGGTTTGGCGCTCTGTCTTGCATCTAGATCCGAAAGTGTAGACCTCTGATTAATACATGCTTTGCCTTTGAAAGCCCTGTCGTGAGATCTCTATTGTAATCCTTAGTCTGGGAGAGGAATTTCTTAATCCGGTGGTCTACATTACGGTTTCGCAGGTGCTGATTGGTCAGTACGGGACAGATTGAAGAGAACCCCTGTTCAAGAGTCTCACTAAGGGGTTCTCACGATGCACGAAACCATCAAAGCTAAACACAACATGCCGAAGACCAGTTCCGATCTACGCAGTCGGTCTTGTTTCTTGTTTCCCAACCCAAACAACCCTTCGTATTTACGTGCTACGTCTATAAAGTGAAGATTGGTTTGGAATTTGATTTCGATGAAGCCATATCCGTCGATCACGGAGTGTCATATTTTATTTGTGCTCTGCCAACATACAGCGTTGTCGTTAATACTGCCTCATACTAAATACCACGAGCCCACGTCCGACAGCCTGCCTTGCGCCCCTCCCAGGCAAGACTACTCCACGCTGAATGCTAGTGTTGGAGCCTACTTGTAGTGTTCCCCGTGGGTTTGGATACCTGCATCTCCTGCCGAGGCAAGACCGCCGTCGGATTTGGCGCGGGCCTCAGTCTCAGCGCTTGCAAAGGAGGAATCACACAGTACCTTTTTGGTGGGCTCCTCATAGAACAAGGTATTGCTGAATCTGACACCTAACGGTCTCTAGTTAGCGTCCCCTATCCTCTGAAATTCACAAGCCATCAACCCGAAGCGGACCTTACACTCCTCCGAACCCAACATGGAACCGCAGAAGTGAGAAAGTAAGTTGCCCCTTACGGACTACTGTCCAATGGCGAAGGGGTTATTCCGCCTCCATATTAACCCAAGGGTGGGTAGAACTCTCCCATCTTCCCTCAGGTGTTATGCTGCCCATGGCTTCCGGACTAGGATGGAATCTTGTACGGTACTACTCCGAAACCGTATTCTATAGACTCCGAAAGCCTAGACGCTGCAACCGCCCCAAGAGCTTAGAAGAATCCGTTTCGCATTGTGTCTCGTAGAGGGGGCTGCTTTGGTGAGTGCATACTTTCTTTCCCGAGGGGCCTGGTCAGTCTTTGAGGCTTCCTACATGGGAGTTTCCGAAAATAAGAGGGTACCTAATTTTGGGGTCCTTATAATAAGGATCCTACTATTTAGGGTACTATATTAGGGTCCCGTATTTTCGGAAACTCCTCCATGAGAGCCAAGGCTTTTTCAGATTTTAGCCATGCTGGCTTGGCTTGCACTGCCTACGACTGGAGTACTTTGTCAGGGAAGCTACTGGGACTAGCGGTCAGGATCCCGACTCACCCTACCAACCGTTGCATGGGCCCGCGCCAAAGAACCCTTCCAGGTCTGGTATCCCGAAGCCCAAGCCGCCCAGCTTCTGAATGGTCTTGTGGGCCCTAGGTCCCACATGGACCCCAAACAACTCAGGTTGGTCCTCTTGGTGGCACTGACCCGGGCATGCGCTGCAAATCATTGTAATCAAACGAGGTTTAACACTAACATGCCACTTCGCCCGAAATGGGGGGTGAAGTATAAGGATCCTTCAAGGTTCGAAGAAGGGCCTTCTTATGAGGATGGCTGGGTTGCACCCTTCGATCACCCCTGGAGCTGACTTTCAGGTTTTGTCACGTGCCGATAATGCCAACGAGCTTTGTGGCGGCTCGACGAGCAGCCGCCCAATTCATGCACAGGTGCAAAGGGCGCCCTGTCCCCGTCCAGCCCCGACAACGGTTTTCCTTTGGCAAGCAGTCAACGGCGGATATTGTCAGTGATCATTGGCATGACGGGGCGCAGGGTGTTCAAGTTTGTTGCAAATGCGAATTTGGAGAAGTTGCCAAGTTGCACCTTCGGAAGACCTTGTGCACAGCCGCCGCGGATAAATCATGCATCGTGTCATCTCAGAGCAGTTTCATGGAAGTTTCCTGCGGAGCCGCCGCAAAGTTGGCACAACAGCGGTGCAACAGGATGTTTGAGCAGCTGGGTTGTGAGATTGGCGATGAGGGCTGCAGATGTAATCATTGTTGTGCACTTCGGCCGCAGGGGAGGGGGGGGGCAGGACGGTCGAAAAATGCATTCAGTTTGGAAGCACGAGATTCTTCACGCCACTCGCTCAGCTGATAGTGGGGATGAGCAGGTTGATTCTTTTGCATTTGGTATGCAGCTTTGCGTGCTCAAACGCTTGTGCTGCAACTACCGTGGCCTTGGGTTACATCAGCTGCCCAAATACAAGACTCACACGCCACTTCAAAAATGACCTACTGAGTAATTGTGTGGTGGTATACGGTATGCTTTTACTGTCACACGGAAAGTGCAGACCATTTCCATCAACCCTACCAGCCCTTAACCTTAAAAAGCCTTAGGCCTCGAACCTGTGATCTCCAAAAGCTTCAAGAGACCCGTAAACTTTGATTTCCTACCCTCAAGCCCTAAACCCTTAGAGCCCCTAAGAGCCCTAGGGATCGAAAATAAGCTTCGATTTGAGGGCCCACGTTGCATGGATCGCGTGGCAAACGCTGCGAAGCGAGCCGGAAGCCATGCGACGCATCATTTGCAGAAGGCTGCGTTTGGTTCAATAAGACAATAAGACATAAACAAAGAGTCGATTCATTAAATGATTTTTCATGGTAGTCCAGACCGGGCATTTCTGCACCGCGTTGTTGAGTGAAGTTGTAGCCTAACGCTGTCCGATGGCCAAGTAGCGGAGTGTCCATGCTTGTTGTGGCGGTATACTTGCCATGATCATACCTTGACTATACATAATGAGGCGGAGCACCGTGATTCGTTCAAAGCCTGCCTCTTCCAGCTGATGACAACTACGAGCTCGGACCTAGAGCCCATGATTCCTCGTACAACCCTAGAGCCCCGAAACCCCAAGACCCCCAAACCTACGTGACCCAAAGCCTTGAATCCTTAAGCCCGCAACCCTACTATTTATCCCAAAGCCCTGTTGACCAGGCCGTCTCAGCGGCGAAGGACTCATCTCTGAAACGTCGTAAAATGTCAGCTATACGTAAAACAGGTTTCTTTGGGACGATCGCGCTTTCGATAATGCTGGTGATACGCCTGAGGGCATTGGTGTACTATACGAGAATTATATTGGCGGCGAGGTTGCAGCAGCACCCCGATCTTTCTGATTTTCCACCCCAAGCCCACATGAAGCTATAAACCTGACATCCTCCTTTATCCTCATTCCGTTTACCTTTGGCAAGAAATCTGAAAGCTTTCCACGCCCATGCCGGTAATTCTACAAGGTTTATGGCGTTTATGTGTTTACGAAAAGTGTTTCAAGCCGGGCTGTCAAACCCCTGCGCCCTGGAGCGTTTGGGCCAATTACGCATCGTCCAGCTGTTTGGCGCCGCTTAAGCCAAGCGGAGTCGTTGGTATGTTTGTTTCAGGTGTATATTCCTAAACCCGACGTTTCTGGGGAGTAAAGCTGTGGATGTCGCATTGAAGTTCCAACGGTCAGTAACACTTTGGATGAGGGTTCCTGAAACTTCAATTATCGCATACGAACCCAAAACCCTGGCTCTATGCTAAAAATTTACTAGTAACTGTGATCCCTTGTTTTTTGCAGGAGCAAGGATACTTCGAGCCCATCTGCACTCAGCGGCACCTGTCTGTCCGCCATTATACCTTCGACGTGTTCCAGCAGCTTCTCCAACTTCGGCTCGAGGGCATTTGCAGACGATTAACAATCAAAAACAAGCAAATACATCAACAGTTAAATGTATCTGTGTGCCAAAAAACATAAGTGTACATGTTATCAAAATAAATGAATAAATAAGTATATGCACTGCAAGCAACCATTCTTACATACATACATACATAAATACAACCATACATGCAATGCTTGTGTGTGGGTGTATCTATGCATACATGCATGCATCCGCATGTGTTCCGAAGGAGATGATATAGACGTCTCCAGAAAGGTGATCTCATTTGCAGAAGTTGGGTACATTTCGGGCGTTTGGGAGAGATTTTGGGGACTTCTCATCATCTCCAGAGCCACCCCAAAGGTACTGTGGAGACATCGTCCATGTGCTGGCGCTGCTCGGCTCGCACTTCGGCCTCCTTCCGGGGCTCTACTTAAAGCGGTATCTATAAGGTTTTTATCGGTTTATCTACAGGTTCCATCAAATAAATAAGCCTGCACACCACTCAAAACCTGGAGCCCTTGTCCTTGTCCCCCAACCTGAGGGTCTGGGTCGTAGGTTTGAAAACTCTAATTCCTTAAACTCCATCCCTGAATTCCTTAACGCAGAAGGGCTAGACCCTGAAACCTCAACCGTTCAAGCCTAAGCCCCAAACCATCAATACAAACTGTTCCTCAAAAAACTCCGAGCCCCACCTCTCCCTTCCCCTTACAAAAAGACCAGCACAAAAAGCATGCAACACCGAAGGCTGGTGTTATGCTTGGCGGTCATCCTCCGCGAGAGTGGCACTGGCGGGATCTCCTTTAAGCCGCTTTGCTTTGAGCTACTTGTAGGGCCAGGTTTTAGAGGCGGGTTGGGTGCTTGGTTGGGTTTAGGACTGGTGTATGATGGGTTTTTGTCTTAAGGATTTGGGTTCAGGGCTTATTGGGGGGGCTTTCGCTTTTCGGATTGTTTCAGTGTTGATTTTTGTTTTTATGCGCGGTCCAGGGTTTGGGAAGCTTTGGGTTGCAATAGTGTTTTGCACTTCCTTCAACTGGCCCCATTATGTTCCCACGATCTTCAAAGACTCGAGGTAGCGGGTTGCAATCCGGGTGAGTCTAATTACTTGGTCATAAACTGGTCTACGTACTTGATTCCTTCATTGAGCCGAACAAGACCACAGGTTTCAGTTTGTGCCTGGTTGCGGCAGAGTTTCCACGTTTCAGGTATGATCTCTCTCTTCTTCATTGGGGCAGGTCCTAGTAGAACGATCAGGATGTGATGGAGTTGGTGTGTAACGATTTTGTGGGTGGTGTTTTGCGCCTAAGAAGGATGATCTCCTGTGAGCTACATGTTGATTCTCGGGGACGTTATTGGGGGTGTCAGGAATGCTCGTTCGTGTGTGTTGTTTGTGCGTGTTTAGGGCAAGTACAGGGGCTCCAAAGCCTGAGTGTTGAGAGTGGTGACCCCGATGGTGTTGGTGTCTAGCCGCACATGTTGTTTGCATTTGGAGGAAGCGCTTCCCCTGTGCTGTACGTAGAAAACAAGAAGAGCAGAACTCATGGATCTTTCTTGTGGTTGTTTGGGGGCTTCTCACTGTCAAGGAGTTAGTTCCAAAGCCATAGGCCATAGGTTGCGATAGGGCATAAGGCTCAGTCTAGAGTTTGATTGCACGCGACATCCTCATGCTTGTTGCTAGATCTGCTCTTTATCAATATGTCAGAAAGCTTAAACCCTACGTGTCAGCTGAAACCTAGCTGCCAAACCCAACCGCCAACCCAGCGGCCGAGGACACACATCCTATACTTCATCGTGTTCACTGCACGATTCTCGAATATTTTCTTCTGCCTTGGCCTTACCTTGCCTTACCATTTTGCCGAGTCCTGGCGTGCATCGTACTCGTCGGCGCGCCGCACATAGGCTCGTACTCTTATCGCTGGTGGTACTACTGCCAGCACTACCGAAACAGAGAATGGTGGAGACAGGTCCAAGCCTGCGATCTCTTGCGAATCTAAACCCGGAAGCCTTGAGCCCCAGAAACTGTAACATATTCTCCCTAGCTTTCACTGCGATTCTTGAGCACTTCCTTTCCAAACAGCAGGACCCAGAAGTCCGCGAAGAGGTTTAAATGCCGTCACAAGATTTCACAAAAAATAGCGCATACTGGAGCAGTTTTTGGGTCGCGGGTTTAGGGTGTGCGATGTTCAGCATTCGTTCTTTGCAGAGGCATTCTTGCATTTCGCTGCGGTATTGGGAAAGCAAGCCAAGAGGCCACATCGCTTCAGGATCTACTGTTGCACCAGCCAGCCTGGAACTACCTAGACGCCGAAGTGGAGCAGCTTCTAATTTTTCTATATGCCATTCTATGGCTCGTATCCTCTATAACATGAAATTAGGAGAAGGAAGCATCGACATGTTAGGCTCCAGGAATTCCCCTAGTCCCTTCCCCTGGGTTTGCGGCTGTGCGCTCGAGGTCTTTCAGTTTTACATGAACCATATCCGCAATAGTAATGGTAAGATGTAGAAATTTATGCGTATATATATATATACACATACACATATACATACTAGTACACTAATAATAATCATATAGATCATAGTATAGTAATATTCAGGACTCTTATTACTACAAGCCATTTCGCGGTAACAATAGTAACCCCGACCCGAAGGCCGGAAGGTCCAACAGCCGGAGTCCCCGCAGTCGAATCCAGACGATCTGAAATCCCAGCTGAGCGAGGTGATCAGTCCATCTATCTGGTCATCTACAAGGTGCCAGCATGGGTACACCCCTCCCTTCCATTCTCTGGTAAACACCTGAAGACCGTAATGATTCCCTTCTCACGAAACTTGTCTGGGGGTAGGGTGGGGGCTTCTTTTCTCGACCAGATGTTGAACTCGTTTGGAGCCAGTCGTCGGGGAGTTCTGGCACTGCTTTGACCGTAATGATTCCCTTCTCACGAAACTTGTCTGGGGGTAGGGTGGGGGCTTCTTTTCTCGACCAGATGTTGAACTCGTTTGGAGCCAGTCGTCGGGGAGTTCTGGCACTGCTTTAGAACCCACCTTCCTTTCTGTTCAGCGGTTCCGCCTCCTGGCAGTAAACCCTAAACCCTGAACGCCAGGTGCTGCTTTGGAGCGTGACGTTGAAGATTGTGCTTTGGTGCAGTTGATTGGGCTTGGCTTTGTTTGCTACGCAGCCAACCTGCAAGTTTCCGTCTCAGGACAAGCCCGGATCTGAAGCCCGAAAGCCTAAAATCCTAACCATGCCTCGACCCTCAACCCTAAGCGGTAAGACTTGCCGTCGAGCCAACCATCCGAAGAGACGCTGGAGAGGGCTTTCAGGCTGTATTGAATAAAGTTGTTTGTGGTTTGAGAGCGTGTTACTGTGTTGCCCGTGATCCCCAACCCCGCCGCTCCCTTGAGGATAATTATTTTCATAATCTGCTCTACTCCAGCTACTGGAAGTTTTCTCGATGGAACGCCAGTTTCAAGGTTTGAGTTGTTTTTGTGCATGAGAGGAGACTATGGGGCTTTCCGGGTTAAGCCGTTAAGACTTAAAGCAAGCAAAGGTCTTGCTCCTGTACATTTTCGGGGCAAGCGCCGGCCTCAGAGTTAAGCCCTGCAGGAATGACAGGCTGACAGGTAGGCTTCAAAATTGAGGAGTCCGTGTTTGAGTTTACGGTGCAAGTTCTGAGGTGGTTTTAGGATTTGTGGGCTCGGCCCGCTTCATGCCACACGCCTTTGTTGAGCGTTGAGCGCAGGTGTGGACGAAAAGGACACCGTGTCCTTGCCAGCCGCCCTTTGGACAGAAGAATCGCATGAGAGGCTTAAGGCAGCATTTTTGTGTTTAGAGATTTTGAGCTTCAAGTCATCACCCAAGGCTGGAACCCTTGAAGTTAGCAGCTAGCAAAGTATTGGCACACGTCGGGCCTTCTGGGCGTGTTTTGTCCGCGTACATAATCCCATAAAAAAGCCTTCTGACCAAGCCTATGATCCCCAAGGCTCCGCCCGAAGGATTTGCCGGGTTTCGAGGGTGCCCGTTGATGCTACAAAAACCTTAAGCCTAAAGCCTTAAGCCCCAAAATCATGTCGCGGCAAGGCCTTGTTCATCATCGTGGTGATGACCTTGGTTTTCGGCGTTTACTCCTTGGAAGACCACGGACTTTTCGTGGAGATCCTCTGGACCGGAGGGGTTGAGGGTCTGGGGCTACTAGATTCGGCCCTGAATCCTCAAAGGAGTCTTGCGGACCGCAGAATTCCACCCACCCCTCCCCGCCAAACATGCAAACATGTGTTTACCCCAGGTCGTACAATTGTTCATGCTGAAACCGTAAATCCTAAGGCCCTGTGTCCGGCCTGGACCCTTTAGGGGTTCGGGGCTTGAGGTTTCACCGTGGGACTTGGCGAACCCCCCTCGAAGGCCACTGAATTACGTTTTGGTTTGTGCCCGAGTTCTCGACCGAAGCACACAGTTCGAAACTTTCTCGTCGGAAGGATCTTTTCCACGTACCTCGAGAGCATCTCGATGTTGCCGCAGCAGCTCCTTCTGATACTGGTTTGCCATAGACTGCAGGGCCTTGGGGTTTGAAGACTGCAGTACAGGATTCTTGGGGTCGAGACTAATACTAAGGCCATTGTCTCAAGGCTAAGGACTCAAGCCTTACAACCCCAAGCTTTAGCGCCGAGGCTATAACATATATCTTCTTTGGGCGGTACTGCAAGAATTCCTCGTCGGAAACAGACCAATAGATGGTGAGCTAAGGCTTCGGCAACATCGATGCCAGGTTAGGTGGTGTTGGCTTTGGCTTCGCAAGTTTGCAACACCGGCCACGGCTATGAAGCTCATGAGACTTGCCCCGACACGCACATTCTGAATGTGCAAACTCGCAAAACATGCCCTCTAGAAGCCGGACAAACCCTGAAAACCCCAGAACTCCAAAAGCTAAAGCCGCCAGAATCTTTGACCCGAAGCCCTAGCTGCCCCTAACCTGCCCCTAGCTCGACTGGGATGCGATGCAGCATTTTGGGGTGTGAGGGGTTTCGCCCTAATCGGAAAGTCGCAGACTCTAAACTCGAGACCGCTTCCGAACCTCCGGAATCCGGAGTAGGATGAAGAAGGCTTTAGCTAGTTCCTCCCGCCATCAAGCGATCTCAGGTACATCTACTGCTACAGGCGGGACGCGGGGGCGTTCGGCTTTTGTTGACAGCTTGACATGAAGGGTTCTTAGTCTTACTACAGAAGTGTTTTCATATTATTGACACAAGCAAATATAGAAACCAAAACCAGCTGTTTCCAACAACACAATAGTAGCACCACAGGTCGCGGGAATTCGGTTTCATTTCCATGATCCTTACAAATAAGACCTGTGTGAGACGTCTCTGGAACGTTTGTTAAATTCTATTGACCCTGAAATCCCGAACCCCTAATGTTGAATTCTGTAGACCCTAAAATCCCGAACTCCTAAACCCCAAACGCTGCACTGCCCCTGAACCAATCGACCGTTACAAACCCTAACCCCTTCAAGGTTACATATAAGCCTCATTGGCTGCGGGCTTGGGGCTTGGGTAGTGTTGGGGGGGCTTGGTAAGGGCGAAGTTTTGGGGCGCACTCCGTCATCTTAATCCGAACCTACAGCCTACAGTCGTCGAAGTATGATTGCACCGTGGGTTTATTGGGCTTAGCACTCTGGTTCACATAATCTGAAGGAGCCATATCACGAGCTCTTAGAATTGAAAGGCTGGCTTCCAGACCTTTACTCGTATAATTGTATGCCTGTGTCCCCCTGGAGACTTCCCAAAATACCATCCTTCTACTTTTTCGGCAGGGACGTCGACAACAAGTGCCCCTTGGTCTCCTCGTACGTCTTTGCCATGGGAGGACGCTTTGGCTTGCCAGTTGTGCTTCGGATTCAGCGTTGCTCGAGACGCCAGCTGCTCCTCGATGTTGTTGGGCAGACTTGCTTGCTCAGCCTGAGGCAAACCGCAAACCCTTCCTGCTTGTAGCTGCTGCCTGTGACGCAGCCGAGGATACCAGATGGTCTTCGGCGTGAGCTGGGGCCATCACTTCCTTTTCCGCCACCCGGCTTCGGGTTCAGGGTCCTAATTTGTAATTGCCTGCTGCAGGCATTGTGTTGAGACCTAGGAGGCCTTTTGTTGTGGGTGGCACTATAGGGACCAATGCTCTAGGCTCAAGTGGTAGGAAGAGCGACAGGCAGCGATTCGAGCCTCGGGGAGGTCCCCGAAGGCTTTGGCCGCTAGGGTCATGAACTTGCAGATCCGACCTTCCACTCTAGGTACTAAACCTTCCATAGGGCTTGGCTGCTGTTGCCGTCGGGGTCCCTAGCTGCAGGTCCTCTCGAATGAAGATGAGACTTGCTCAGAAGAACAGGGAATGGATCCTGCCCGAAGAACCAAACTACAACACCATGAATACTTCTGTTCAGGGATATTACGTTCCAAGGTTTATGTTGAGGTGCTTCCGGGGGCTCATGCGGTTGTATGTTCCGTCCTTGATCCAAGGGCCGTACGACCTGGATGTCAGCAGCATGATTTCCGGTTTTCTGGGTATCGTCCTCGCCTCAGACTCGGAGGTTACTGGACCAAGAGGGTGGTGGTAGCAGAGCTACAGGATCCAACTTCGGCTTCAGGGCCATAGAGTTTTCGGGCTCGTGGATAGGGGTGCTATCCCACGGTCGGCATAGCAGCAGGTAGCACCCTTTCTGGCTAGCATAGAGTAAGCAATGCGGCGAAGTTGGTGTGCTAAGCTCGAAAAACGCAAGTAGGCCTTAAGCCGGATTAGCTCCAGAAATTTTAAGTCCCGAAGTCCATGTACCGCGCGGCACGCTAAGCCACACTAAAGTCACCCTTAGCAGTCACCCTTGTAATGTCCTATATATGACCGGAAAGAGCCTGTATTGAGCACTTGTAATATCTTGCAGTAACTCCTTATTTTCTACTTCTTATAGCATTGTGTAATCTGGAAAAGTCCTCTCTTCACCCCCAGGTCTTCTTTTGCGACTACTTGGCATTTCGCGTGCTGGGCGTCTCGATGCTCGCTCGGCCCTGAAAAGAGCTACACATTAGAAGCTGCCCCCACCCTGTAATAGTGACTATAAGGATTATATTAGGGCCCTAATGTATTCCTATTATACCACTATTACAGGGTGGGGGCAGCTTCTAATACACAAATGAACCGCTTATCAGCTACCGATACAGAATCATGAGCCATAGATCCGTAATGAGCTAAAGACTACTACATGGAGTCTGCTGTCGGAATGTTCCGTCGTGCAAGTTCTCATGACCCTTAGCCCAAGTCAAGTGGTGCTTCAGTACGCCGCGAGACTTTTGACTCGCTCCCAATGATTTACGAAGCACCGCACCGTAAAAGTCGTGTCTAGGGTAGGCCGCATATGCCCTCTGAGAAACCTTTGCAGAAAGCCCTGGACCGAACGGAAGACCTGATCCATGCGGCTCAGGGTGCTCTTCCAAGCACATGTGGGCTTCGGCTCAAACCTGAAATTCCACACCTTATAAGCCCCGGGACCTTGAACAGCAACGGAAAAGCACGGGACGCCTTCAACTTGGAGCTTGAGATGTTCGGTTGCTTCGACCCACGCATCTGGACGCGACACCGGCGAGAGCGAAGGCTAGAACTCGTGTTTTGCCGGTTTGCAGTGCCAGAGATGTCTCGTTCCCGGATGGTTCGGAACTATAAACCCTGAGCTGGCCCTTTAAATCCTACGCCCCAAACCCGAAGCCCGACCTCGAGACCTCGTCTGGCATGTCCGAGTGGCGAGAGCGTAAAACCTACAGTAACGGTAAAGCCATGCCCTTTGCCATTCTGTCCCTCCAAGGATAAAAGGAGGGACCCTTAATAAGGACCCCTGGGTATATACCCTTAATATAGCTATTATATACCCAGTATGTAGCCCATTATAGGGTAGGGGTCCCTCCTTTTCCCCTTTGAGTCCGAGGTCCAGGTCTGCATCTCCGTCGACGATACGATCAAGGAGGCTGAGGCACATGACCCTTCGTTTCCGCGGGGTTTCAGGGTTTAGGGTTCAGGCTTCCGGGTTTAGAGTTTAGGGTTCATTTCCTCAGGGTTTAGGTTCGTTCCTCGAGGTCTTCAAGATCGGCGAGAGTAAAGTGCTCCATGTTTGGACCCAATCCTTGAAGACGTCATTGCCGGTAGTGCCCTTGTGCCCTTTTGTATTAATTTTGGGTCTCCGTATTGAAACCGTACAATATTATGAAGGGGCTGCTGGGGAACCGCCCTCTTCCTACCAGAAAGAACCACTCAACCTTCAGCCATAAACGAGAAGAACAACGACGAACTTGCAAGGAGGCTGCTTGGAGCCTGGTTGCCGGACAGCCGGTACAAGGCCACTCCCGGGTAGCGCTGCACCATTCAACATCTCGGGGAAAGAGGGTTTCTAAGAGCTGAATGAGACGTTCGCCGACAAACTGCTCGCTCCTGTGCGACAGTCGATGGCATGCCACCAAAGCCTTCTCTCACGACTCCAAAACACAGACAGCTATATGGGAGTTTCCGAAAATAGGGGACCCTAATATAGTTCCCTAAATTGTAGGATCCTTATTATAAGGACCCCAAAATAAGGTACCCCCTTATCTTCGGAAACTCCCATATTAACCTGGCAGCAAGGCATGGACTTTTCGGATCCGATCAACCCGGATGTCATTGGCCATCGAGAGGCCTCGCCGAGACAACTGGGTGGGGGCTTTCACAGTTTCGAGTGCGCAGAGTTGACGATTGAGGCCTTTGGTTTCGGGCTTGGGTTGTTCGGTCTGGGGTTTTTATGTTGTGTTCAGGAGTTACAGGCCCGGCGACTTGGGCAAGGTGTGTGGTTTCGGTTCTAAGGTTTAGAGATTCGGCTTCTGCGGGTCGCCGATACCCCTTGTTTGAGCACTTTACGGTTAGCATTCGTATCTGCTGAAATGCAAGTCTAACTGTCCTGACTGCGAACCCTAAGCTCTTGAAGCGACCTCTTTGCTGAATTTACATATTTCTCGTCGTGGCACTCATTCAAGCTGGCCTTCCAATAATTACCCTTGTACTCGAACCCCAAGTGCAAACATACTTCTCACTGCTTCCAGTGCCCAGGCCCTGAACCCTAAACCGTCCTAAACTCAAGGCTATATGAGACTGTTGAAACCTTTGGGGCGAGAACCCTTGGGTTCTGTTTGATCCCTAGTGTTGTGTATTCTTGGGCTTAAGGCAATTGTCCTTGGGGGGATACAGAGCACCTTTGATTGTTCCTTGATTGATACGATGGCAAATAATTGGGTTTCGGAGTGGAGGGTTTAGGCTTTGGACTAAGGGGTTTGAGGGGGTTTACGCTTAAATGTTGTTTGGGGTTAACCAGAAGCCCGACACCCTAAGCCTTAAGCCCTGCTACTTAGACCGCAAACATTTTGGGAGGGCATTGCTGAAGGGGGCTGTACCGTAACTCTTAAAACTGATCCGGAACCGGTGGAGCACCTGAAGCTATCCACAACCAAAATACCACATGGGTGGTTGTCAAAATCATGGTCCCTTTGTGGGTACCCCAAATATTAGGTGCCCTATTACAATAAGGACCCAAAAAGGGACCCTAATATTGACAACCACCCACATCGTTTTTTTCAGGCCTGTTATGGGATTTTGTTCGACTCAAAAGGATCGCCACGAACTGATCCTTTGATTTTGCATAGCGAGGAGATCGAGATGGCAGCGACATCCTCGGCCCCTTTGGAGTACCACCGGAGCATGCGGCTGACGGCCTGACAAGGGTTCAGGGCCTGTAGAGTTTGGCGGTTTCGGCTTCGGGAATAGCCAACGTTTAGGACCTCCGAAACTTCAATCGGTCCTAAGTCCTGAGGTCAGAGGTTTTTCTTACGTGGTAGGGGTTGGAGATTGCTTATCGGACGGCATGACAGGGTTAATAGGGTTTTGAAGTTTGGGGTTGAAGGCTTCATCACTTGAAGCGTTGAGGGTCGCGGCGAAGAAGTTTCACCTGATCTCGGAAATCGCCGCGCGGCTCTGATCGCTTCAAAATGGGGAGGGGGGAGGGATTTGAATTGCTAGTTGAGTTTTCGTCCTTGATGAACGGATACATGCTGAGGTTAGGTGGGCTCAACTTGATGTGTTCAAGCGCAGACTTTGCTGTCACAACGCATGCGCTCAGTCCGAGCTGCCAGGAGAAATCAAGGACTAGGCGCTCAGGAATTTGAGGCGATGGCTTACATGCTGGTTTTCCGGTGTTGATAGTAAAACGTGCTGGGCGTCCTGTTTAGTGGCTCGCAGCCGCACTCTTCCACTTAAGACGGACATGTTTCAAGGTGCATGAGAGATTGTATCACCAGTCCGGTCTTGCCCCGACACGAACCTGCATGAAGTAAGAGAAGATTCATCATGAAATGCTGTCAGCTTCTCCCTTAGTTTGACAATCGCAAGACACCTAGCTGGGAGCCCCGGCCTTTAATTCAATCAAGAAGCTACAACGCCGCTTGAGCAACTCAAATCGCCTTCCAAAGCGCCCTACGAAGCCCTATAAGCCTGAACTCCCAAACCCTAAGGACCTAAACCATCCGTTAAACCAAGACTCCAAACCCTGACCCCCTAATTGCCAACTTCAACTGCTCCTTACCGCTATGGCTATGCCCTTGCGGGCCATGCCTCACCGGCAAGTGGCGCAGATGTTTCTTTCTGCGCTTCTTCTGCGCCTTAGCTAGCACTGAATGTGTGTGAGAACCGCAAGACCAGTGATTTTGCTGCAAAACCAACATGTACAGCTTACTGCTCATGCTATACTGCGGTGCGAGCTTTTCTTGTGCGTCGCGTCGTGCTTTGTTTTGCAGCTTTGCCTCACATCTTGGTTTCATGACTGTCTAGGTCATGAAAAGAAAAGCCAAACGGGCTTGCGCCGGTCAGGTGCCGCCGTTCAACGGCAAAATAAACCCTCCGCCTGCTGCTAGACGCAATGAGCTTCAAGCTCTACATAACCCTCAGCCCGATTTGAGGTGCCGCTTTGCCTCTGCCGCCCCTCCCTGTACAGAGGGCCAAGGTCGGATGACACCAACTGTGCTTTGTCGGGTGTGAAGTGTGGTCAGTTTAATTAATCAGGAATGTAGTTACGGGCTCTTGAAGGGTGCTCACAGGAGTTGAGAGTCTAGGATTCAGAGGTCTAAAGCTTCGGTTTAGTTTATTTCGGGGGTCGAGTTTACGGCGTGGGTTAGTTTTTCCTTTGAGGGTTCTTGGATTTACCAAGGCTGGGGCTTTATTTCTGGAGCCCCGCGAGCGTAAGCGGTTCAGGGTTTAGGGTTTCGGGGTAAGCTTTGGTATTTGGGGCGCAGAGTTCGTTCGACTGAGAGGCCCTGCGTTCCAGGGTGAGGCTCTGGGGTTACTGGGGTTTGGGGGGAGGAGGAGGAAGGATCAGGAATGTGCTGCGTGGTTCGGGGACCTTTCTTGCAAGAGCTTATCATGAACCTTCCACACCGAAGGAACCTTCACCCCACAAGCCCGAAGCGACAAGTAAGGCATCAATGTTATCAATGTATTAGAGGTCTGAATGACTTCTATAATCGTACTCCTACATCACTCCCATATACCCCAAAGCTCGCTTCTAATTCGTACCACTAATTTCACCAACAGAAACCCCTGGACGGAACCCAGAGCTTCGTCTCCGTGGGAGGTTTCAATGAGTCGTCGCAGACTTGTTCCGACTGTGCGCCAGGTACGTACATGAGCTCCGCAGCTGCTGTTTGTAGAGAGTTTTTGATGAGGGTCTCTTAGGGTTTAGGGGTTAGTACGGGTTGGAGGTTGGCCTCAGAGCTTTTGACAGCTTTGCGATGCAGGAATTCAGTCGTGAGGGTTCCGGGTTCTTAGGAGGCGACAAAGGTTCGATCGTTAGGGACATCTTAGTCCGAAGCTTTAAATAGACCTGAAAAAAGCCCTGAAACCCTAAATGATTCCATGTATGCTACAATAGAGTTCATAGTTGGAGACCTCCGAGTTTCGTCATGCATTGGGTCGATAACTTGGTGGCAGACTGCTGAGGCTTAGAATTGAGAGCTTCAGAGCTCAACGGCTACATGGCCTAGTTTCGATGTTCCGCATATAAAAACGGCGGGGAAGGCAAGATGAGCACAATCCCTATACTTAGGGGTACTTAGAAACATTTTTTTAATTTTTTGTTATTATAATCCCTAAGAAACAGCTAAAATTATAATTTTTGCTAGGGTTCTAAGTTCAGCATAGTATAACCCTCTCCAAGCAACCCCCCAGACCTCGCACCCCATCAGTCCAACCTAAACCCGGAACCACAACTATATCCACCTAGTAGTAGACTACCTTTAGCCTTTTTGGGGTGCCATAGTCCCTATATAGTCCCTATATCACCAAAAAGGTTAACCTTCAGTTCCCCATGATACCCGCCAGCCCCTTGCGACGAAGCGGCCAGCCCCTTCCACCCCAAGGAACTGACCATGGTAATCGGATCGTTCATGGTGGATCTTTGCTTTGTTGTTTGGTGCTTAGGGTTGGTAAATGATAAGTTTTCAGCTCTGTTGCTTCTACCGATGGCCTTCCTAAACCCCATAAACCCTGAAGCGCACTGTCCGCTGCAAGTTATAGCCCTACGAAAGCTTGTAGGGTATTATACCACCAGCCCAGCCCCATTCTAATTCTTGATTTCAGCCGAGGCTACGTGAATGCCACAGCGAACCTGACTTTTTCCATTGGCTGTCGACCTTGTCTCGCAGGGAGGTATAGTGTCTCGGCAGATGAATGTTCAGAGCGCTTAAGTGCTTGGGCTTTCAGGTTTAGGGACCGATTTAGAGTGAACCCCAGAAAGTTGGAACGTGGGTTCAAGCTTATGAGTGCTGGGATTCCTTATGCTTTACCTTATGCGCGGGTCGGTAATGATGTTCCAGGTTTCTGGCTTCTACCTTAGAGGATGAGATGGCTGAGTCTAGGGAGGGCAACGGACTCCTGTGGCTCGGGGCCTTACGGGTTCAAACCTCGCGGCCCCGAGCCGGCAAAGGAAACATATCTACTGCGAAGGCATTCTGTTACAAAGCTGTACAGGTTAAAGTTAGGTTGGGTCCTGCACGGGTGTTTTTCTGGAAGCTGTTTGGTCATTGATTTCAGCATGGATCGGGTGCTGTTTAGGCACATCACTGCTGACAGTTCGGCCTCTCTGCGTTTGACCGCCTTGGTAGAGCTTCCCATAGCGGTTCGCCAACTCGAGGTTTCTAAGCGTTTGCTTGTCACAAGGTCGCTTTGCTTCCCCAACGTTCTCTTGCTTCGAGCTTCATATACGAGACTTCAAGTCAAGAGCTACCCTTTGGTAGATGAGGGTTTCCGCACAGTTTGGAAGTCAGGATTTACAGCCTTCAGTGCTCAAGAGTTCTACCAGGCACAGTTCAGGGATGACGGCATCCTAGAACCCAAGCCTTCGGCCATGAGGCCTTCTCAGGCCATGAACATGGAGTCCGATGAACCTTCAATCTGGAAGCCAATACAGAAGTCCGTAGCTACCTGATGGATTCTAGTCCCTGTTTCGGTCCTCATTATGCAATGACTACGCAACCTGAGCCCTAAACCCTGAAGCCCGGATGTCAGGTGGGGCGGCAGCTTCGGTCTGCTCTGTTTGTCCTGCGGGGCGCTGGAGATCAGCCTTTTGATGTCTCCGATGTCAGGGTTGGAGTTTCACTTTTGGGCTTGAGGGTTTGGGGTGTTTGAGTTTTGGTATCTACTTGGAGAAATGGGACCAGCCAAGTGCTCCCATGCTTGGAAGGGTGTCAATGCTCAGCTCCGGGATTCTGCCTTACACTTTGGTATTCCTCGAGTCGTGTTCTATTCCCCTGCGAAGGCTGTGTGAAGACTTGTCGGACTTGGCAACTTCCCCCGTAACTTGAAATGCTGCAACCGGTTTGCGAGCCCACATTCTATGTATGGTTTAAGGCTGCAAGTGGGTACGACGTGGCATACAGTACCCTTACATCTCCAGTGCTCTCAAAGCCGCGCTCCTAAGCCTAATAAGACAAGACCCTTAAACCCCTAGAGCCACTAAACCCGAAGACCCCGTCAGCCGAAAGTAAGAGCTTTAATGTCACCCAAAATTTGCAAAACCTTCTGGACCCCAAACCGAACCCGGAACCGAATCATACATCAGCCCTGAGCCCCGTAAAGGAACCCCTCTATACTAACCTTTCATGGACACCCTTCTGGTAATTAGTGCCCTCCCCAAAACAGGAGCTGGGCGGCCTCCTCCAGTTGCACGGCCTGCGCACCGGGCACCTTCAGCTGCTCGATGCAGCAGCAGGGCGGGCCTTTCCAGGGGGACGCAAGGCTAAGGTTGAAAAGAGGTTGAAGGGGTATATTTGGGAGTTTCCGAAACTAGGGGACCCTAATATAGTACCCTAAATAGTAGGATCCTTATTATAAGGACCCCAAAATAAGGTACCCCAATTTTCGGAATTTCCCATTTGGGTAAAGGTTTGGGGTCAAGGGTTTAGGGTTTCATGCAGGGCTCAGGGCTTAAGGAATCTAATTGTTCTTGGAGAGCAAAAGCCCTATCAACCCTAAAGGATTCACTTCATACGCTTCGTCATGTCGTGACCAGATTGAGCGCATGGGGACCCTGCCGAACGCTCGGCGTTGCGGGTTCTATCAGCCTTGATTTTATGCGGCCCTCGTCGAATCCATTTGTAGAACCTCTGCCATGGTATAAACACGTCCTATGCAGCTACGCAGCCCTTGTAGTTTAGCTGAACCCCAGAGTTCCCGAAAGTCCTGGCGCCCAAGGTTTTGCTGGCAAGAGCTAACCCAGGTTGTAAGCAGGCGAAATCCCTTCTGCCATTTTCTGTATGTATATGTCATCTATATACGCCGATGCTTATAACATGTATAAAACATCGCATAGCATTGTCTAGTGTAGTGTAGTACGGTCGAATATAGTATAATAACGTATGCAGTACAGTATACTGTAGCATAGTATCGTATCGTATAGTACAACATGTTCTAGTGTAACGCAACATATGCATATATGTGTATGGGGATATGCTTGCATCCGACAAGCTCCCGCGTTTTGGGATCAGCGTGACAGGGTCTGAGCAGCTCAGGTTTCGAGGGCATGCGCGACTGCCTCCCGTGTGCGCCGGGCTATTTCACGGCCTCAGAGGGCTTCTTGGCGAGCTCTGATGGGTCAATTGTCGGAAAGGCCCTGAAACCACAAGAACTTGCTTGTCGCTGAAATGACGAGACGTCATCGAGATGCGGGATTCTGGGCTGTGAGAAAAAGGCATTTTGAGATTCAGGGTGTCGGGAGTTGGGCTCTAGAGACATTCCAGTCTGGGATGTTAAGCGGGCTTTATTTCGGCGTTGATCTGAGGTTTATCAGAGTGCGCGATCTGTGCAGCTGGCCGGTTCAGCGAGAGCTACAGAGGCAGCGCTGGGTCCCGAAGCAGGGAGAAGTCTCAATAAACGCGAGTTTGAGGATACGTAATTCCAGTGTGATTTCAGAATCCTGCCGCCCCTGGAAGAAGCCTAGATTTGCTAAGGGTCCATGGGGTCGATATCTCATAGCCGGCCACCACGACGAATTCGGCGCTACGGCCCTGTCGAAATCTTGCCAGGGGTTGGAGCAAGAGGCTTTGGGATGAGGAAATTGCCACGGTTTCGGCAGTTTTCTCTTCAAACTATGCACAGCAAAGTCTTAGAGCCTTAAAGCCCTCCCACAGCAGATCAAGAGCTGGAATTCCTTGCTTTTGTGAACCTGTGACCTGGTTAGGATATATGACGCCTCTATCCCACTTCAGAAACTTTTTCCGCGCATCGACCTGGACACACCGAAATGATTTGAGGAACGCATGGTCCCTATGCCAAAAATTTGTTTGCGCATGCATTGTATGCAAAATTCAATCCCTACTGCGCACCCCAAATTAGAACCCGCGAAACCCAAACTGCAAACACGAAACCAGCAAAACCTCTTTGATTACTACAGGCTCCAGCAGATGCACCGAGTGCGCCACGGGGCAGTGGAGCGAGCCGGCGTCGGTTCGCTGCACCGCCTGCACCAGCGGCCCCTCGGCCGAAACCGCGTCTCGGATTTGGGGACTTTCAATTTAGGGTCCTACGGTTTGGGGTCTTGGGGCTGATGATTTGGGTTTTAAGGGTTCAGGGGTCCCTGGGCCGACGGTTAAAGTTTACCATAACCCCCCCCCCCCAAAAAAAAAAGCACCTTGTTAAGGACTTAGGTAAGTCATAGGAAGAAACCCTCAAAGGGTAGGCCCGGGTAGGCTCTAGTTTAGCGGTCAGGCTCCTTGGTCACTTCTTGGGATGTTGAGCCTCGGGAAACCGGCATCATCGCTGCCGATGAGCCCTGCATGCCAACAAAGTCTGTCGAAGCGGAGGGCCTGGAGAGTGCGGGGCTTTTCCCCTTTCGGATGGCTTCCGGTGAGCCTTAGCGACTTAGCGGTTTCACACACTTGTGACTTCGGGTTTGGAACTAGGTCTTCCTTCCAAACTGCCAGAACAAAGAAACCAAGGTGTCGGTTGCTTACCACAAAAGGGCAACCCTTTTCGTTTGCGAATCCGTGGCTAGGAGAGTACCTGGATGAGAACCAGACGTGCTCTGTTTGCCCTGCCGGGACATCAAGTATCCAGGCCGCGGCCGGGGATTATGAGAGAGACTGCTGTAAGGAGCTTTGCTGCACGACTTGACTCAGGGTTCTTGTTGCCTGAAGAAACCGCTGAATCCCCGCAGATTTGTCAAGGCTGATCGTTTCGAGTGCTTAGCGTTGCACCCCTTGATCCTGAGCCCAACCTGGGGATGTGTTCGAAGCTTTGAAGTACTGGGGTGCAGGGAAAGCCCGCTGACGTCCTAAGCAACCCGTTGATTTCAATCTGGACCTATCTTCCCAGATCCTGAAGGGGGCAACCAGCTGCACCGCTTGTGCACCCGGAACACGAAGTGATGCTGGAGCCATGGTTTGTGAGCCTTGCTTCTCGGCACGACTTCGGCTCGTGCTGGTCTTGAAAGGGTTTAGGGTGGTCACAGCTTGGGGGCTTTGAAGCTTTGCGTTGTAAGTTTTGTGTGGGGCTCAAAAGTATGGTGCAAGTCCTACAGAGCAGACGGTCTTGGGCCCACATTGACATATGACTCTGACAAGATCCGTTGAGGTCCAGCCCAAATCGTCGGGCTGGACCGGAAACCCAACACCCAACACCCTTGAGCTCAGCACGCTTGAAAGCGGCAAACCCTCCAAGTAAGATCCAAAACTACAGATAATAATAAGATTAATAACAATAATAATAACAATAACAATAATAAGAATACTACTAATAATAATAATAATAATAGACTTCGTCCTCGCTGTTCCACGAGGTTCTCCTGGCCGCTTCGTCACCCAGCCGCACGCAGCCTGTCAAGACTGCCCTGGCGGTATCTCGGCTGCTTGCGTTGCCTGGGGCTTGTATGTTTTGGGGTTTAGGGTTTAGGGTTTTGGGGTTTGGAGCTCATTCAGACCCGCAAGAAGACATCAAAGCCAGTATTCCACACTCGTGGTGATACGGGTAAGAACGAGAGTAGTAGGACTCTGTTTTCACGTGCTGTTAGCCTCGAATCTCTGGCCGGGCAACAGCTGCTAAGAAAGGCCCGAAACTGCCCGAACTCTGCAGCAATCGAAGCCAGGGAGCCTGAGAAGCATCCCCCCCCAAGTCCCGAGTTCTTCCCTTTGGAGGGTGTGAGAGAACTCGTCACTTGGCACGCCTCAGGAACATTCAGCAGCCTCAGCTCCACATCCTGCGATGCATCCCGGCACCAAGCTAGCGGGAGTTCAAGCAGGCAAATGCCTTCGAGCAGTTGTCAATGACCGTGGCGAGCTACTTTCTCACTGATTTCTCTGAGCAGCCTCCACTTGTAGCATGTGCCCCAACCAACCCTGGCATCCGGAATCCAGACACCCTTGCCCTAAGCCCATTCCTTCAGGTTTGCCCCTATGGGCACAGCAGTCTGCCGGTTTCTGCTTCTTGTCCTCTTTGGCTTCGAGTTGTATGCTTTTCGACATTCCCTTAGAAGGGGTATGGCATGGGCCAAATTCTCATAAAGGGTTCCCCTCTGATCGGAGAGGCCTGGTGTGTTAGAAGTAGCTACCGATCCTGATGAGGATCGACAGGGGCAATAGGGTATGGATCCCTGTGTGCTCCTCATCCGACGAGCACAAGCTTACACTCCAGACCCAAGTAAATTCTCTGGTATCTGGATTCCCAAAACCCTAAACCTCCAAACCGTAGCTCGGTCTGGACTTGGGGATTCCGCCCCAGAGCCCCGAAGCCCCCTCAACAACAATATCATTCCCGGAACCCCAGACCTAAAACCCCCCCGACCTACAAAGGAACGCGAAGCGTTGTGTTACTTTGTGCTTTAAAAGAGAGAATGAGGTCTCCCTAGGGGGGCACAAGACCCTAAGACCCTGAGCCCTACCTCCGGAACTTCAAGCTCTCTGAATCAGAACCTTTCAGCTCCAAAACAAGACAGCCCAGCTTTTATAGTTCGATAGTCGGCAGCTAATCCTAAACCCTATAAACCCTATAAACCCTAAACCCTAAACCCTAATCCTCCCCGAAAAGGAAAGCTGCCTCCCCTGCCCGGCTGGGCGCTTCGTCCTGGACATCGCGGCGCCCTGCGCCGCCTGTGCAGCTGGGAGGGTGAGCTCTGGGAGGCGCCTGGTGAATATAGTAATACTAGTAGTAATATAGTAATAATAATATAGCAATAAGAATATAGTAATAGTAATAGAATAATAATAATACAGTAATAAGAATATAGAAATAAGAATATAGTAATAGTAATATGAGTGACTTTTTGTTGTTTCAGAGGGGCAGGGAATTGTTTGTGTTGAGGTGCAGGGCTCGGATTGTGGAATCAAGTTTCGTTCGTTACAGGTGTTTTGGGCCTAGGGAGTCGACGGTTTTGGATGCAAGGTTTGTAGGTTTGGTTTTTGTTTATCATGTTTTGTTTTATGCGTTTCAGCACTTTGGGAGTTCACTTGTTCAGGCTTGGTGGCTGCAGGTTGGGGATGTCGCGGCCGCTTCGAGGGTTCGGATTAAGCAGGTAAGGTTTGGGGGCTCCGGGACGGTTGACTAGAAGGCCCAGGAAGTGGGCCGCTCTATACTCAGCGAACTCAGCTGCCACGGCCAGCAAAATGGAGCAAGCTATGAACTAACGACGCAGAGGTCGATATCAGCAGTTAAATTCTCGCCTTGCAGGCCTTTGAGAACTCTCCCCGAAAACACTATTCTGAGTATTGGCTACTTGGCACCTTTAGGATTATAAATTGAAGTGATGACAGTTTATGCATAAACGGGGGTGTGCCGCAAGTCTTTTAGCAGGGATATTCTGGTGCTGATGTTTTGAGGGTTCAGGGTTTCGGGTTTGGGCCGTCAGCCAGACTAGAGGGCACCGAAGCTTTCAGCCAAGCACTACTCACTACTTTTTTCAGAAACAGTTGAAAACCCTACTGCGACGGAGAATCCGGACCCTTTACTGGAGGGTTCACTAGGTTAGGTCCCTTAATGGTCCTCTTTTGTAAGAATGACGTAATAGCTCCTTCAATTGGCGGATCTTGAAAGGGGTTCTAGCTTAGAGAACTATACCCCCAATCATTAGTATTGGCAGGACTGACAGCTGTACGCCGTGCGCTGCGGGCGAGTACAGCGAAGAAGCCGCTGCTCGCTGCGCCTTGGTTTTCATCTAGGGGTTCAGGACAGGAGAGGCTTGTAAAGGTGCTTTGGGGTGGTGGTGTTCTGTAAGCTTCTTGGCGTGGGTTTAGTGCGCAATAGCCTGGACTCAGCATGACTTGAGTCGTTAGGAGGGTTCGTCCAGACCACTCAGATCCTACAGGAACTTGTCATGAACGATTTTGTCCAAATTTCATCCAGATCAAGGCGATCCGGCAGGCAATGGTCATCATGATGATGAGGAGGGTGTTAGGAAGCAGCTTGCAGGTACACAGCAAAATGCTTCGTCTCGTCTCATGTCGGGAATAATTAGGCGCCCTTAAGCTGCCTTGCAGAGTGTTCAAGACAGAACACGACCCATGCTGCGATGCCTGGAGCCCTGAATCCGCGAGCAGGCAGAACCTGTCCAGCTGGGACATTCAGCAGCGCATCTTCTGGTTACTGCTCGGAGTGCCCGGCAGGGACGGCCAGTGAAGAAGGCCAGCCATATAAACGTGTCCATCGAAACCCGGGGCCCTTACAGGGATCTTGCCTTCCGTATCCCGTAGCCTTGGGTGAAGTCCTCCGTCGAAGCATCCCGAAACCTCGTTTCCGAAAGCCTAAAATATGTGTATATACGTACATCTATAGCTATATATATAATTATATATATATACACAACAAAGGAGCTAGTAGAGGGTTGATGTACAATCATGAGCCCCATGTTGCCCGATGCCTTGATCCGGAGGAGGGCTTTTCTGTTTGATCAGTGGGTCCTATGAGATACCAAGACTTCTGTTTGCCAGGTTCTCCTTTGATGGGCTTTAGACGTTAGATCTCGGTTTGAGTTTCGTGTTGTTGGGCCGGTATGTGAGATTTGGGGTCAGGGTTGAGGGTTGAGGTCACACGTTAACGCAGTTTCCGGCTCCAAGCTGTCGAGGTAGTGCCAGCTGCATTCCCTGCACAGCGGGTTCGATCAGCCAGGCAGGTGCGGCAAAGCAGCGTGGCTGCAGGGAGTTGCAGGGCTGCAGCGGCGCGGTTTAGAAGCTCACAGGGGATTGGATGTTGTAGCAGCAATTACAATGAAATTCTGATGGTACTAGAGCCTTACATACGGGCTGCAGACGTCAGCAAACTTCAAAGCTTTCAAGCCTGAATGAGCCTTGCAAATCACGAAGCAAGCACGGCGAAAGTACACACATTCGATCGAAGCCGTTACGGTTTGCCTTCGTGGTGGGGCCGGGAGCTTGAAGTTTGTTTACTAGTCCCGATTGAGCTGCCCATCATAAAGCAATGAACCTCCTGGACCCTGAGAGCCTTAAATGTGATTTGTTGACCTCCCCTAAAGGCCCCAAAATCAAGAACCACGATGGTCTGAAGCTGAAACCTTACCCTAAAGAAATGCACGAAGCGTCCCAGGTGCGAGCCCCTGCAGGCCCCTGTAAAATTGTAGTGCTTACATATTGTACCCCCCACTAAACCCGAAAGGTGCGAGCCCTGCACTGCTGGGAGCTATGCACTTTTCGCCGACGAGCCTTGTTTGACCTGCGCGGCCGGCACCAGTAGAGCTTCAGTTGCAGTTAACTCATCATCATTAATCTTTCGACTAGTGACTAGTACTCTGGGATCTGAAGAAGTATGCATGTCGGCAGGTAAGTAAGTATAGGTAGGTAGGTTATATATTTATATATACACATGACAATCAGAATAAGGTAGTAATATAATCGTAATTTAATTACACAAATACATGCATACGTATGCGCATATCCTACGGAGTTCTGTCCCCCAAACACCAAGCGCGAGCTACACCGTTGTCCCCCACACACGGGTTCGGTAAAGGCAGCAGAAGGCTTACTGCGAACCAGCTGTGAGCCCCTAACCCCAAGCCCGATTCACCCTCCCAATATCCTCGAGCCCTGACGGAAATTGGGTCCCTTTATAGAGTGCGACAAGAATCAATGTCACTTGTAACCTGACTCCTATATTGTAAACTACGACAATCTAACCTAAGTCGGTCTTTTCATTTTCAATCCCCGACGTGGGAAATGTTGCAGCGGATGCTTCCGAGGCCTGCGAGGAGCAGCTGAGTGCGGCTCGCACTGAAGAGTTCAGGATGGCGGTTTTAATGGGATTCTGTAGGGTTTGGGGGGTTATAGGGGTTGAGGGTTTCGAGGCTTCAGGGTTCAGGGTTTAGGGATTGTGAGGTTTTGGGGGTTCAGGGTTCGGACGGAACGTGAGAGGATGTTGCTGAAGGTTTATATGTGTCGGAATTTGAGGGTTTGGGGCTTCGGTTGTTTAGACGATACTCGTTCACACATTCGTCCTACTGCCTGCTGATGATGTACACATATGTTTTGATTCTTTGTGCCACTAGAAACCCAGAGCTCCAATACCAGAGTGCAAGAGGTACGCCATGCCAAGCTGGCTACGTGAGCTCTGCCGGTGCCGGTGAATGCCTCCCTTGCCAGCCGGGCACTTTCACCACCGTTGCTTGGACAACCTTGAGGTGCTGTTTGATGCTTCTTGGGTGGGTCTGAACAACAAAAGGGGGCAGTAGTAATTGCAATGGGCTTCAACCTGTACCCTCCCTGCACAGCTACAGGCTGTACTATTGTCCCTGGGAAAGCTGGCGGTTTTCCATACCGAAGCCCCTTGAAACCTGCACCCGTCCTTTTTGCATTCCCTGTGTTCGCTCCAGAGCACCGGAGCGCTTGTCTCACATGGTTGTAGGGCTAGGACCCAGGGTATGCCCTTATTCCCTTTTTTGACGGTTCGGGTTCCCTTATAAGCCCCTTTAAACCAAAAAGGGCACCCTTGTTATTCCTGGGTTACTCTTGGGTTTAGAGGGTCTTCCTAGGGATGCTAAGTCTGCGATTCTTGTTGCATGCCAGAGCTGCAAGCAGCGCAGGTTCACTGATCCAGGCTCATCGGCGTGCAAACACACAGAACCTTAGGGCTTAGAGCACTGGAATCATCACTAAACCCTGGCCTTTTAACCTGAGCCCTTGAGCTGTGTAGAACATGCTCTGAAAGCTAACCCCCAAAGCGACAGAAGAGAAGTGGGCCTTTAGACTTCCTAGTGTGCGTTGATAACTGCCCTATAAGGACCTGCAGCAGTGTCGCACCTGTCCAGCGGGCACTTGGAGCAGTCTCCTGACTATGAGCACGGTCTAGGGGCCCGGGATCTTCGGCTTCGGGTTCCGGTGTCAATAGTATTAATATTGGTATTAGTATGAATATTAGTATTAGTATTAATATGAATATTAGTATGAATATGAGTATTAGTATGAATATGAGTATCAGTATTAGTATGAGAATTAAGATTAGTATTGGCATTAATATTAGACTCGGGGTTTCGGTTTGAGTCTGACGTCCTGGATCCGCGATCAGATGTTCCAGTTTTGCTTCAGGTTCTGAGTTGGATGATGCTTCCGCGTTCTCGAGTTCAAGGCTTCTCTTCTCATGGAATACTGAAGTCACAACCAGACTCAAACCGCACCCGTCGCACTTTGTGCGCATTCTCGTGTTGCTTGGTGTTGATGTGTTCCCCTACGGGCCCAGAGCATCACCTCAACCCCTAAAAATGCCAAACCCACATAATCCTAAAACTGCTGTACATCCCAAACCCTATAATTGCAAACCTAAGCCAGTTCTTCTTGAAGCAATTCCGGTCCACCGCATTGCGCAGACTCACTGCGAAACGCGTGTCCCTTAAACTAGTGCATCTCTTTGTCGACGTGTGCTATCTAAGTCTGCCAATGCCCGCCTGCCAAAGCCTCAACCTTCAGAAACTCCCGTCATATGGAAAAATATGCCTTATGCCTGGAAACCCCTCAGCCCCAAGCCCAGGTATTGCAGCCAGCAGCTGTGAGCCGTGCCCTCCGGGAAGTCGCTCCGATGCTGGCTGGGGCGCTTGCCAAATCTGCCCTCCTGGCACGAACATCCAGCGTCTCGTCTCCTTTTCAGTGTACAGAGAATGGTGCGGAAGTTGGTGTTCAACCTATCCTAAGACTTACAGTTGAATGCCTAAAGTCGTGGAAGGCCATTCATTGTTGGTTTCTTCGTTGCATTCTTCGCCCGGAGGTTTGCACAAAGGGTTGAGCAGTGGAGCTCATGGGTTGACAATGGAGTTCGTCGAGTTCAAGTCGATTTCCACGATGTGCATGTGGGAAGATTTCAAGACTGGCCAGCTGGCAGAGTACAGATGTGGAGCAGCATCAACATGACAGTGTCGACCAGGAGGGAATATGACAGCGAGTGCGTACCAGCTTCCAGATGTCAGTGAGCAAGGTGCGAGTCAAGAATCCTTTTTGCTTTCCTTGTAACACACTTGTTGGCCAGGCAGCCGGATGACCAATGTGAAACCTGTCCTGCTGGCACTTACAGCCATGCTGGCGCTACAGTGTGCCTTGGCAACATTTGGCCGCTGAGCATTTGCGTTGGTTGCAGATGAGCACGCATGTCTAAGTGGTTCCCATGTCCATGTGTCCGTAAATGACACGGCACCTCTAGTTCCATCACTTGTCACATGCCTCAACTTGCGTTCTCCATCTTCAATGACCGATATCGCAACCAGCAAAGGTCGTAAGACCACATCCCGACCCAGGTGCGACATTTGCGAAGCTGGGACGTTCAGCAACACGTCCTCGAACAGCTGTACTACCTGCCCAGCGGGCAGATACAGCAACGACACCGCGCCAGAGTGCGGCTCGATTTTACGAGGACTCGGAGCCACAGGGGGCTGTGAGGGTTCCTTCCAAGGTCCAGGGCTCGAGGTCTCCTTGGAGTCCGTTTTTGTTTTGCGCAGGCCCGACCCCTAGACAAAGTCCATCTTTGCGCGGCTGTATAGCCCTTCCTGCGTCTTTGGGAACGGCTTGTGCTCGCAATAGGAGACTGGGATGCAGGTGCAGGCACCAGTGCGGATAATTACTGCTCTCCTCGTGCATCTTCAGGTTGGGTCCTGAACCCTAAACCCTAAAACCCTAAAACCCTAAACCCTAAACCGTTAACGCTATTCTTCGAAGCAGGGCTTTGATCTCCTAGATGCTCGACAGGTCGGTTTTTTCCTTGCAGGCCTAAGCCTTTCGAAGCCCAAGCTCCAACCCCGCTCCAACTAGCTCCAACCTGCCTACCTGAATCGGGTATAACTCAGGCACCGACTGCCCCAGCGGCCGCTTTAGCCCAGAGCGCGCAGCTGTTTGCACACTTTGCCCGGCTGGAACGAGCCTCGACGTTTTTTTTCGTGTAAAGTTCTTCAGTTCACAGGGATTCACAGAAATCCTGCGCCCCAAACTGTTCTCCAGGAGTTGCCTTGCGGACCTGAGTCGAAAAGTGAGGACATGGATGCCCCAACAGTCCCTGTAGTCTCCGTGATGCATTGAACCTCTGGCTCTAAGATTGCAGCGGAAGTGACCCGTCCTTCAATCCAAATCCTAAAGCCCTGATCGGCCCTGAACGCTGAAATTTTCGATCCTGAACTCTAATCACTTCTTCACGCCTTGTCGAGGATCAGTGGCGAAGCCTCTGGTTCCTGCCACTCGGGCAGGTGTCGGAAAATACTATCGGAATCCGTCGGAGTCTGACGATGTAATAGTTGACCTTTATCTGTCAGATAGATCAGGTACAGCATACCTCAAGACCTTACGCGAACCATTGCGGCCCTTATGTTGGAGCTGCAGGGCTTGGAGGGTTTCGTTCTTTTCGGTGTATTCTTTTGAGAAGTGGAGGCTTGGTTGTCTCAAAGACTCAGCATGTTTGAATGGGCTTCAATACCTAGAGTGTTTCTTCGATCGACCGGGACCCGCATGCTGATTGAACCCACCCGGATGGAAGGCCATTTCCCAAGAAGCATCACCTAAGATGCGCTCAAGTTTCATTTCACGAGCCCCAGAATCCTTACGGTGCGTTGGCGACGGTAAATCCGAGGCTCGAAAGCTGCACACACTCTCCGACCCAGGTATGCTCTGCCCAGCCGGCACGTTCAGCGGCATTGGGGCCTCTGTCTGCAACGATTGCCCGGCCCCACGGCCGCAGGAGAGCTCGACCCTTCAAGGAAAGCCCAAGAAGCTCAACCCCCCCATGGACTTCGATTTCGATTATACAAGCCTTCTCTCTCTCTCCCTCCCTCTCTCCCTCTCCCTCTCCCTCTCCCTCTCCCTCTCCCTCTCCCTCTCCCTCTCCCTCTCCCTCTCCCTCTCTCTCTCTCTCTCCTCTCTCTCTCTCTCTCTCTCTCTCTCTCTCTCTCTCTCTCTCTCTCTCTCTCTCTCTCTCTCTCTCTCTCTCTCTCTCTCTCTCTCTCTCTCTCTCTCTTTTTCTATCTCTATGTGTATCGTTTGTTCCTCCATCGTGTTTGTGTTTTGTTGCACTGCTCGCTGGCCGTTCTTTTTATGTCCAAGGCAGCGTAGACCTGCAACGTTTCGAGAGTTTGCTTCGTTTTTCAGGTTCAGGAGCTGCAAGCAGACATGTTCCAGTTTGAGGAATGCTCAGGGAACTCCCTCGAAGCCTCGTTCGTCACAGAACAACCGAACAACGGATTTTTGATATTGTACATATATGCATGTCGGTCGGTCGGTCGGTCGGTCGGGCTGGCTTCTGGCTGTAACTGTGCAGATGACTAGATCCACCACGAAGAAACAAACAGACCAACGATGGATCGTATATATCTAATATCTGCAATCCCACGACCCAAGGCGGGCACTTTCATCCTCAGTCCAGACCAGACCTGCGAGACCTGTGCTCGAGGCGCTCGGACTATTGCTTTGCGAGTTTGCACGCTTTGAAGGTTGTGGATCCCACCGACCCTGAGCCATAGCCATAGCCATGGTAATTACCTCCCCAACGCCAGGTGTAGGGTTCGGGCTTCAGGATTGCAAATAAGGTTGGTTTTCGGGTATCTGGATGCGTCCGCTTGTTTTGGTGTCCATGTAGGGCTTCTTTTCAGGCTTTCGAGTTTGTTTCTGTGGTCTTGTGTTCTTGACACTGTTTCCGGCCTCACATGCTAGGTTCGACGTTTTCTGGGGCCAGTTCCTGCATGTTCTCTACAGTCACAGTGAGACTTGGGGAGAGCGGCTTGGGGCCACCAAAGGGTTTACAGGGCCCATACAGACTTCTACCCCCAGCCCGTCGTATCAAAGCCCCTGCAAGGAACAAATCACATGCATAGTTCTTCGTGCTCAGAGCGCCAAATAGGTCGGTATAGCACCACGGCATCCACCGGATGCAATTCCTGCATCCCTGGGACCTTCATTACGGATCCGGTGCTTCAGCTGCGGAGAGTTTGGTGCTTCTCGGAGCTTTAGCTAATCGTTTTCAATGTAGAGGTGTGAGCCTTTGACTCATAGCATCAAAAGCTATTTTTCAGTTGTACGTAGTCTAAGGTTTTTATAGCTTTTGACAATGAGACTCTCATGATAAGGATCCTGTTGTTTGGCGGAAGTACTCAGACATTCATTCACGTCCGCGAGCCTGCAGCACCAGAAAGTTTTGCTTGGGGTCTCTTGCCCAAGCATCCTGAAGCATTGAACATAACGCCACAAATCTCTAGAAGCTGCGATGAGATTGCAGCTCCTACATCACCAGGGCCTGCTTCAATACCCTCAGGCCTTAGATCGAAGCAGCCGAAGTTTAAGACAAATACCCCCCCGTGTACAGTAGAAGCTGTCAAAGGAACCCCTGAAAGGACCCGATTGAAGGCCAACTTCCTGGAGCCCTAAGCCGAAGATCCCGAGGCCTTGAACTGCACCTCCTGCCCCGCGGGCACCTGGAGCGGCATGGAAGCGGCAGAATGCATCCGATGACCTTGGAATGCATCGGAGGTTCAGGGTTACTAAGGCGCTAAGGGTTCTGAAGTAGGTTTCGGGCTTCCAGTAAGTAAGGGTGGATTGAGTTCGAGGTTTTGAGCCTTGGCTCTCAGGTGTTTAGGGTTCCACGAATTAGGGGTTCAGGGTTTGGAGTAGTGCAAACTGTAGATTCGCAGTAGATTCGCCTCCGGGCAAAGGCTCAGACTTTTAGCTTCCCGGTTGGATGTCGGTGCAGGAGGGTTCAAGGCCTCAACCCGAAACCCCAATTGAGGTGTTGGATTCCACTGATTTCTAGCTATCAGGTGTCCACGGCTCTAAGCCCTAAATTTTTGGGCTCCGACAGCTATCGTTGTCGGGCTTGCGTTGGGAGTGGTTCAAGGCGGGAGGTGGGCAGGATCAGAGGTTCAGGGGTTCACCTTGGCATGTCGTTGCCAGACAAGGTGCAAGACTAGCGATGTCGCCACTGGTAAAGGCATAGTTAACTCTAAGGTTCGTTCCCTCCGTTACCATCTTTACGGTAGCACTGTCCCAGATCCTGAGTCCGACAGATAAAAATTGCTGAGCCTTATACCTTTGGCGCGCATGAACCCACCCTAGCTTTTGCCAAAGGCCTGCCGGGCGAGTTTAGCGACGAGGGTTCTGCCTACTGTTCACTGTGTCCTGCTGGGACCTACATCGAGCAGCCGCACCTTGGCCTAGTCATTCATGACTTATGCAATAGGTCTAGAATCAGAAGCCAGGCATTTGGAGCATCCTCATCCCTTGCGCCTGAGAGAACAATGTGGTGAATCCCAGCACCAATTACTCCTGGCAATAATAATGCAACTTTCTGGATTTCACTGTATGAGATTCAAAGCAGGGTCCTGTATCTTGACAACTTTCGGCTTTGGGTCCTCGGAAAGTACGTGGTGATTTGGTAGGCGCAGCATGGACCACCAAAGTATCGCAGTCTCTACTTTCAGCAAGGCGGTATTCAACGCACGAGTCTATGTATTGAAGCACCGTCGCTTCGCTTGGCTGTGCTGTGTGGGATTCTGAACACAACAGGGCAGGCGGGTTCGTCTCATATCTGTCAAGCAGAATCCAAGGAACGAGACGTGCATGGACTGCCCAGAAGGCTGCGGGGCTGGGAGTTGTCGCTCCACCTGAAGACTTTCAAAAGATTTTCATCTGATGATATTGGCACGTGGAGCTGGCGCGAGCCTGGTTCCTAGGAGCTAGGGCAATGCGGGCGCACTGAATCGAATCGTCACTCCTTCAATCCGAAAGCCCACCCAGAGGGGCTTGTAGACCCCAAATGAAAAGCATCCAAGCCGTTTCCAAAACATGTGCCTTACTGCCAGAACGCCTTAATAGTTAGAATAGGGGTGCGGGGTGCAATAAGGCAGAGACTTTAGGGAATCGTGGCACTTGTTATTCAGACTCCATTGTAAGCCGCGAGAGATCACGAGAGCCTCGAGATCTGATGGCTGGCAGGCACTTGGAGCTCGAGTGCCTCGGTGTCCTGCAGCGATGCGGCAGCAGATTTGCCTTTTCAGGATGCGGCGGCTAAGATTTCAGGGAGATGACGGGGTTTGGACCTGAGACTTCGGGTTTCGGCAGTCAGAGATTTTGAGATGCGTTCTGCTTTCGTTTGCTTGATCAGTGGCCAGGCAGTGAATTTGTTGCAGATTCTCTCAAGCTGAAGAAGACTGCCTCGTTGGACTCTTGAACTTGTAACCTAGCATGCAGGTCTTATCCACGAAGTTTCTATTTTCCCGGACCTTGTTGCCCAGATCGAATCTGAGGCTCCTGGTCCTAACTTTGAAGTCCCACAACTAGAAGCAAGTCGTGCCAAGGCGACTGCCTTCCTGGTCGCTTCCGTGGCAATGGCACCGGCTGCGAGAGCCTCTCGGCCGACTGCTCACGCCTCAAGCTCAGGAATTTGGGAATGGAGACGCCACACAATCTCAATTTGATTCTGTATGATACAAGGGGGCTTATTCCGTCGTGGGCTCTGCACGAGGTTTCAGGTTCTTCGGGATTTGACTTCGGAGTTCACTTCCGAACACAGGCTGCCCTCCTGGATCACGGAGTGATGCCGCCGCCGACATGTGCGAGGAGTGCACTGCGGGCAGGTGCCATCATCGGCACGTTGTTATGACTGATCTTTCCATGACGGGTCGAGTCACCTGTGTAGGATCGACCTCGGTTACGACACTCCGCTGTAACAACCTTTTCAGTTGGATTCGTCAGGCTCACACACATGACTGTGACTATGCTACGGTCAGTTATTTTGTTTGGAGGGGGGGTGTTTAGCCCGCGCATATAGTGCCGGTCACGAGAGCTGATCTTCTAGCCAAATGGTTGAGATTGCACGGACGTCGTGACGTCGTGTGACGAACAGTGCAAAACTCGCACGTGTCTGGTCTGCTGACAGCCACTGCCGGACTCACTGTCGCCTAGGCCCGGGTACGATGTAAACCTACGGCCCGCAACCCTCTACTCTACACCGCCGCACATCCCATTAATCGGCTATGAGAGGTATAGCCGCAGTGCGTCTGACACCTGCGACCTGTGCCGGGTGCTCAGCAGGGCTTGCAGCTCGAGGCTGTCATGTGTAACATGGAAAGACATGCGGGGTTCAGAAGACCTGGGGGATGTGGTACCTTCATGTCTTCATGCTTCAACATCTCTGAGGCCCGGCTGGTTTCGCTAGCGAGCCTGGATCCGGCGAATGCATGGCATGCAAACCTGGCAGCTTTAGCCTGGCTACTGGGCGTTGAAATTTGAGCGGTTTCGTGGTGTTTGTCAGGCGGCCTGACTTATGTGATGGAAGTGACATCTTTGAAGGTCATGATGGTGCTTGGGAGTTCATGTTCAATGCTGCCAGAATGAGGGCTATTGGCTCCTGGCATCAAGACCAGCTCAGACTGCAGGGGCGTTTCGATATCGGTCGAACAAGGCAACTGCCCCCATATGCTTCGATGAAATGCACATCCCAAACCTCGTGTTGCCCCTGCGTGACTAACCTTGCCCGCCCACTCCAGTGCAGTCAAGCGCACTCCATGGCGAAGACATGCTCCGGGTCAGTGCCCTTCGGACCGGCTTGAATTCGCGGCTGTCATGCCGCTGGCTGGTGGTGCTAGACTCGTCATCCTTTCGGCACATCATCGATCCGGTGAGCCACACGCAAGCGGTGTACGGAGGCGATATGCTGGCAAGAGTAAGCGAAAAGCGCCGCGGCATGTGTTTGGAATCTTTTGGCAGGAACATGATCGAACGCTTGCATCCCGAAAGCACCTCTGCAGATGCGTGTTCGGAGCTGATGTGCTGCAGCGGCAAGCGCCGTCCCCCTCATATGTCGGAATGGGACTTCACGCTAGGGGGCAGACGTATCGAGCTGAAATCTGCGATGCTCTGTTTTCTACGGAGGCATCGGACCTGGGGCGTTTCGTTTAACAAAGTGAAGCTGGCGACGGATGAGCATGAGCGAAAGCCGTTTGATGATCTTTATTTGCTGATTTACACGCCCGCGGACTTCTACCTTGTAAGGCATGACTTGCAGACCCGCATCTCCACAGCGGGCATACGAACCGGTTTGCAGGGACATACGATAAGTGTAACCGGACGGTCCGGCCAGATTTCGTGGCAGGCGGCATTGAAGACAATTCTGGACAAGCTGTTAGTCTCAGGAGGGTGCCAACTGGTCTGCAGGGTTGACAGATCCGATCCCATGGTCTCCACATTGTATTGGGAACTATCGAAGAGAGCTCGGCAGCTTCAGGACAGTCTGTACGATGGCACACCAATGAGCACCATGTCTGCAAGTGCTCGTGGATATCGAATCCAGCAAATCGCACTCGAGTTCGACAAGATGCAACATGCAGATAGCACATTTGCGAGTGCGCATGATGAAGAAGCAACAAGTGGCAGGAGGCGTGGAGCCAGCACAGCTGCCGTAGACTGGGTTCGAGATGGTGTACGAGCTGAAGTCAAGTCCGCCAAAGTTTGTTTTGGAAGGCGTTACCAGAGCTGGTACTGCACTTTTCATGGAATAAAGGAACCGGAAGAAGGCGCTTGCAGCGCCACCGCGCTGTGCTTTGATGAGCTTTGGCTGGCCATGTACAGTCCCTGCGGACTTGACTTCTTTAAGCATGCTTCATATCACGCAAGTCTCACGTCTGCAGGAGCATGCACAGGTATTTCTGGGAGGCGTATGCTGGTTTATGCAAGCACGCACGACACCTGCATGGAAGCCGCTGCTGGGAGAATGAAGGCCAAGCTGGAAGCAGGGGGTGCTGAGCCGCTTCTCTCGCTTCTCTGGAGCACGTAAAATCAACGAGTAAAACTTGTCTGACTGCACGGGCTTATACTGCAGTGCACGTGGACAACATCATTCTTCGACAGGCCTTGTGGCACAGCTGACAAGACACTCGTGTTGAAAATAGTGGGAGCTGCGATATGCGCTGGAATCCGATGGAATCCGACCGCAGAACTTGGCAGTGATGCCGGCGGAAATTTGATCCCGATCAGTCGTCGTGAACTATCTACAGCACAAAACGATGCTGCAGACGGCGAGTGCGGAAGCAGGCGTCATGAGCTCGCTGAGGTCGTGCCTCTGCCGCGGACGCCACCCACCGTTGTACCCCCGATAAACGAATTTATGTCAGCATGCTCGCAAGCCCTGGCCACCTGCGGCTCTCCGAAATGTGAATCTTGAGTGTTTCAATTCCGATTGTGTTGAGGTAGGTGTAAACTCCACCGGAAATTCTGAGTACGCTTCCACCTCCTTAGCCTCTGCAACTTCCCCGCAACAGTTAGCTTGACAAGTTGAGGTGGTCCCACAGGTAGCAACCCTTCCACCCTGCATCAACATGAAGCCGAAACATTTCACAAGATCCTGAAATCTGCAACCTGCATACAGAGAACGGGAAGTATACAGGACAAGATTCGACCCGATCGGCTCGACAGGGGTTCATTCCAACAACACTGAGTCAGACGTTCGGGTGAGGTTGAGCAAATCCGATAGCTCCTCCTGGGCACTCGATGTCCCCAATGCCTAGGCGGAGTCGCCCTCTTGCAGCATCTGCTCCGCCGGAACAAAGAGCGGAGCCGCCCGGCTCAAGCAGACTTAGGAGAATTTTCGATCTATGGTCGAGAGTAGCCAAGCAGCTGCCACAGAGGAAAGGAGGATAACACAAGGGACGAAGGCTGCTTGAAGCAGGTTTTGGAGTGCCTTCGATGTTTTCTGTTGACCGGGCCCTGGACAACCTTGGGTAACATCTTGAACTTGACTGCCTAAATCCTACACCAAGTTCCAGCCAAAGCTCTAAGCCTCCAATCCCCGAAAACAATCATAAAGCAATCAGAAGCTTCGCTTGTGCAGAATCGAGGCCGAGGCTGGCATGTGCACGGCCTGCCCGCTGGGGAAGGCGCAGAAAGCCTCAAGTCGATCGGGTCTGAACAGTAACATACTATTCCATGAGAAACTTGTATTCATTAACAGTCCTGATGTAGTCGTAGTCGTACAATGTCGAAAACAAAGCGAGGACAGCGCTGGGTTTGGGATGGTTTAGGATTGGCGAGGCCGTGACTCTCGAGTGAACAGATGAGAGGGGTGTACGGCGATTCGGCTCTGGTAGGTGGGGCGTGTAGCGGCCTCGCAAATCCCACTCTGCCATGCACACGATCCCAAATCTTGGCAGGTGAGTCCAGCGAATGCCAGTCGTTGTCGTCTTTGCCCAGCCGGCCGCTTTGCACCCTCACCAGACGGGGACTGTGACCCGCCTGGACATTGTAGGATCTTTAAGAGTTGCAGTCAAGATGCTTCAGGGTGTTGACATGTCAGGCGGCAGAGCAGCGACCAGGTAGGGGGTTCAACTTGGGGTTGGGCCAGATAACAACTGCAGTTTGCATGAAGGCATGGAGTGCCCGTCTGGTACATGGAGCACGTCCCGTTCGGCAGAGTGCAGCTTGGATATGCCTTATACGCCTTAATGCCTGTAGGCCGGGAGTCCCGTAGTCTTTCAATTTGGCGTTCTGTACAGAGCGGTTTAGGTGTAGGCTTCTGGCTCGAAGTTTTCGCTCAGGGCACAGTTGGGTCTTGTGTGTTCGTTCTTACTTGCCATGCTTTCCTTGTTTCATGTCAACCCCACTGCAGGTGATTTCGGGTGGGGTGCTTAGTTGTCAACGAATCATCTGGTGAGGCGAGGGAGCTAAGTCTTCTGGCCTTCTCATAGCGGCATTAGGGGGTTCAAGACTCAAGACCTCGAACTCCAAGAGCTGCCGTCGGAGGCCAAACGCCATGGAACCCCATACCAAACCTTCGGGTACATCGTGCTCTCGACTTGTGCTCTCTATACCGCGAACCGTGAGCACATGCGCAGGTACGGAATGCCCAGAGGGGCGATGGAGCCACCCCGGTTCGCGGGACAGACAATGAACATCAGTGTATGCCTTTGGTCCTTTGTATTTGGAAGGGTCGGTAAGATCGGATGTTTCGTAAGTGGGGGGGCAGGACGTATCGATGACGGACATAGCGAGTGCAGTCGATTTCTCTCTGCATCCCGTACGCGAAGCAATGACCCTGAACCCTGAATCCTAATCCCAAAACACCAAGACTTCAATTTCTATTCTCTGGACTGAGGCTCCAAAGTCTGGCAAAGTCTAGCAGCCGTAGCTCCCGAAGCAAAAATCTCAAGGTTCGGCACCACTTCTGAGCCTCAACCCTGAGTTCCAGAAGTCCCGCTTCTGCTAGAAGGATACGAAAGGTTCTTCTGCATGCATGCCCTGCAATTCCATAATCCTCTTGATGCGTTTCTTGAGCTGCGAAACCTCGCTTCGGACATCTCGTCATGTGCATTACTGCAAGGTGTTTCGCTTCTAGCGTAAGTCGTCAAGCCGTCGTAGCCGGAGTGAGCACCTAGTCAAATCAGCACATCAGTTAAGAAGTAAGTAGCTGCAGGATTGCGCCGCCTGTCCTCCGGGAACTTACATTCTCGAGGGTAATGCGACCTGTCAGTCAGCTCCTCAGGAGACTGTTGGAGCTATTCAGCAAAGACTTCGTACACATGGCTGTGCGGATGTATAAGTATGTGTATGCCAGTATATAACCATTCACACGGCCTTAATGGACATAGACGTACATGCTGAAGCGCTTCACAGACACCGGAGTCCCCCAAAAGCCATCAAACGCTTCAGATCTTCCCAGGCCAAGACCTCAAAAATCGTTACACCCCAAAGCTCTAAACCCACCCCCAAATCCTAGACCCAGAACTCTTGAATACTAAGACCGAAATCCTGAACCCAGCAAACCATTAAAAGTCCCGTCGTTCTTTGAGGCCCTGTCCTACAGCGTGAAGCCTAAAATCAACATCTATGACTTTCTTTCCCCTAAACTACCCCAAGCCCTAAGAACCTGCTATACAGCCTCAAACTGAAATGTCCCCGAGGCCCTGCCCACATCGCTTCTGGAGCTTCGAGTCATCGGCTCCCAGCGCTGCACGAAGAAGCGGCTCTGGACCTTTGTAGTGCAATTCGTGTGGCTGGTACTGGAGGGGCCCTGTAGTACAACATTTAGGGTTGCTAATGTACAGCGAATTGGCCTTGCTGGTCAGAATAGGGCCGTGAGAGTTTTTGTTTGGTACAGTTTGGCCTCCAGGATATTGTCTAGAGTCTTGAAACTTGGTGTATTACTGAAACTCAAGAAAGCAGCACAACTCGATGTCCGAGGCTGATTGTGAGCCGCTGGGCTCGGGATCCTGGAGTACGCTGCGTGTGCAGCATCTGTACGACGAGAACCTCAGGCGGATCTTAGGATCTTTCGATTCAGAGTTTGCACTTGTAGGGTTTATGATGATTTCCGGAGCGAGGTTGGCCTGCCAATTCCAGCTTTGTTCATCGGGAGATGCGTGAAGTTACGATAGTTCTTTGCACACTGCAATACAGGATGTTTGCGTTACCTCATGTCATGTATGACAGCTCACCCTAACTCAAGCCAGAAGCGCTGAAAGCTTGAACCCTAACCCTGACCTGCTTCAGACGCCACTGAGTAAAGCCTTGAACTCCGTCCTTCGCAGGGATGGAACCGGCGAAGATCGTGGCTCGGCAGGGCTGCGCGTGGGCGTTTCAGTTTTTAATAGAAGTTTTATGTAGTTTGTAGAAGGTTTACAGGTCACGTCAGATCATTCAGGATGAGAGCCCTTGCAGCATTGAGGGTTTGAGTTTGAGCTCAGATTGGGGATGTTTCCACTCAGGAGCTCGTGACCTTCTACCCGGCGAACCCAAAACCTTGCGTCTTCAGAGATAAAGAGGATCCTGATATGTGAGTTTCCGAAAATAGGGGACCTGAATATAGTACCATAATAGGAAGTAGTAGGATCCTTATTCGAAGGACACCAAAACAAGGTACCTTTTATTGTCGGAAACTCCCATATGGATCCCCTCAAAGAAAGGAAAGTGTTCAGTGCTCGGGATTGATCTTGAGCTTTTTTTCTCTTTTCTCTTAGAGCCCTGGAGAAGTTCACCGCGAAGTCAGAAGGAATCCCCGTGCCCCAGAACCTGGCGGAAAAGGCCATTGATTGAAAAGAAGCTGAACTGAACCTCTACAAGCACCGATGTTCATCCCAACATGTAATCTCTGTTAATAAGTAAGCCCTCACAGTGCTTGAATTTTGATGCCTAGTCCTTCAGTTCAGACCAGCCACGCGGGGCTTCCGCCCAGGCTGGTTCGAGATTCGCCCGCGAGAGCTGGCGAAGGATCCCTGGGTCGTCGCGGCGAGAGAAGATTGGCTCCAAGAGTGAACAAAAGAGGGGCTCAAGTTTAGGGCGTAGAGGGGTTTTGACTGTTGTGAAAGTAGAACTGACACACATGCACCAGTCTGATGTCTTTCGCGAAAGCTTGATGTTGCCACTGCGAATGCATGCGCAACATTTGGACCGAATGGAAGGTCCCCCTTAGTCACGGACGCTACTTGTGTGCCATGCAAAACAGACCGTGAGCTTGTGCGGCCGCCTGAGCGCTTCGGTTGCTCAGGTGGTAGCGGAGCACTGGAGGCAGCTTGCTACAGGCGAGCGCCGGAAGTGCGCAAACGACTCTGCTGTTGGGCAAGGAAATGAGTGCAGCGAGCCGAGACGACGAGCGGCCTAGGCTGGAACGGTTCGATGGGTCGGACCCTGCCAGTTACAAGCGATGGAGACGCAAAGCGGAACTCATGTTGCTGGCCTTACCTTCGACGATGGCCAAAGAGAAATGGGGGCCGAAGCTTTGCGAGTTTCTGCATGGCGAGGCGGAAGAGGTCTGCGAGGGCATTTCACTGGAGAAGCTGGTGAGCGATACCGGATACAGATTGATTCTGGAGACTCTGGATGCCCGATATGCCGACCTGGAGCAAGATGCACTGCAGAAATATCTGAACGAGTACTTCTTCAAGACGCAGATCAAGGCTGGAGAAACCTATCGAAACCTCACGATCAGGGTGGATACGGCCTACAGGAATCTGCAAGAAGTCAAGGTACAGTTGCCAGATGAGGTTCGAGGCTGGTTTCTGCTTCGGAAATTGGCGTTGGACAAGAGCTCTGAGGCAATGGTCCTGACAGCCACGCAAGGAAGCCTCAAGTATGACGACATCACCAAGGCGGTCAAGTCTATCTTTCCGCAGGGCAAGTGCTCGAGCACAGCTAACCGAATGAAGGATGTGTACGCCGCGGAGGACGAGACGGACGAGCCACGAGATGATGAAGCTGGTGATGGCGAGGAGAACGAGGTTTTTCAGGTCGTGGCGGACCAGTTTCAGAACATGGAGGCCTACGATGACGAGGAGGCGCTTGATGTTCTGGAAACATACCATGACATCAGGAAGAAGCTGCAGCAGAAGAAGATGGGAAGAGGATACAAGTCAACGCCTGCAGCTTGGAGTTTGACCGGTACCGTTCAGGGTCGACTTGAACAACTCAAGTCGAAGACCAGATGCCACATCTGCAAGCAGACAGGACACTGGAAACGCGAGTGTCCCAAGCGCCGGGATCAGCCGTCGAGTTCCGCTGGTCGTGGCCCTGCCAACAAGGACACCAAGGATGCAATGATCGCGGACCTCGATCAAGGACCAGAGACTGGAGCGGGATGGTTCGTACCAGTTGAGCAGATCGAGGAGCTGGACGTGTTCTTGGTGGAGGGCAGCCATGGCGAGGTGGACATAGTTCTTGCTGATCAAGGCGAAGCCGACTGTGAGCAGATAAGTGCCGTGCTCGAGGGGGGCCTTGAAAAGTCAGGGCTACTTTCTCCGAGAGTTTTTGATGATGCACCGGACCGTGCGCAGCCGAGTGATGCATACATGGCGGAGTGCAGCAGCGGGGGTTCTTATGCCGACGTGACCACTCATGCTGTGCCTGACACTGCCTGTCGTAGAACGCTTATAGGTGAGAGGGTTCTTGATGGGTTGATCGGTGAGCTTAGAAAGAGGGGGTTACAAGTCAGGTACATGGATGAGCGGCATGAGTTCAAGTTTGGGAATGCAGGGAAGCTGCAAACAACCAAGTGCGTAGTTATTCCTGCGTGCATTGGAGGCAAGCTGATAGCTTTGAAGGCAGCAGTGCTTCCGAATGCTGGGGCTGATACACCACTTCTCCTGTCCAAGGAATGTCTTAGGAATCTTAGGGCTACTCTTGATATGGAGCGTGATGTGTTGTATGTGGGGAAGCTTGGGGTTAGTATAGATCTGAAGGAGACTGAAAGGGGACACTATGCTATACCTATTTTAGGTTGCAGAGTTCGGAAGAAGGGAAGCAGCGTGGAGATGCAGAACCAGGCAAAGATCAATGAGGTGCATGCGACAGTGTGTGCAGCCGCGCCTGGTACAAGCGACCAAGTGACAAGCAGTGTGTCAGAGTCCGTAGTTGCCGCAGGTCATGATGGAGGAAACAGCCGACGCCGAGATGATGGTGACGGAGAACGGTGTTCCATGGCGCTCGGACATTGCTGCCACACCACTCATGAAGGAGCTGCTGGGGGCTCTGAAGCCGGAGCTTGCCAACGAGGTTCCGAATGCCCTGCCGATGAAGATGCTCGACGGGCTCGACGATGCCGACGAAGACGAGCCCGACGTGCCAATCAGCGGAAGAGAGATCTTGAGCATTGGGAAGTACGCCAAGGCCGGGATGATGAAGACGTTCGCCGAGATCTACACCGAGGACAAGGGCTACGTGCAGTGGATTCGGAAGTTCGTGACCACAACCAAGCCGAATCAGAAGGGCCAGGCACCCACGTCGCCAATGATGAAGCTGCGTCTCTACATCGCAATGAGAGATCAGCTCAAGGAGAACCGCGTGAAGTTGGATGTGGCCCTGCCAAAGACAGACGTCATGGCGGAACCGCCATACATCGATCCCAAGAAGGCCCTGCAGCTGCCAATGGCGGAATCAACCCGGGCAGCAACACCGAAGATGAAGACAAAGCGAAGTCCGACCGGGAAGCAAGGAGCAGCTTTGAGCAGTGGCTCAGACGCTTGGGAGAAAGTCGATGCGATGCCGGAGCCGAACGAGAGCGAGCGCAAGGGGATCAAGATCAGGAAGGCGAGGCTGATGGAGCAGATGCGCTTGTTGTCAGCTCAGATGGAGGAGCTGGAGGGGTTCGAGCAGGACGGCTAGATGGCGATCCAAGGCCGTCTATGAGCCGGCCCGGGCCGGACGGAGTGAAATGCGTGATGTCACGAAGCGAGCGGCATATGTGCAGAGCCGGTCTGAATGTGATCGGTGAGAGGCCAGGCAAGAGCATGGGACAAGTGTGTGGGGATAGGTGTTGTAAGTTGGATATTCTTGAGCTCTTTGAGGGTCATGCTGAACGAAATGCTCTAGCGTGTGGTCTCACGGCACGGCACATACTCAAGTTCTCCCGCAAGTTCGAAAAACATCAGCGCTACTTTGGAGGTCACATGCAGACACATGTGCTGAAGCAGTTAGACAGTCTGGGCCCTAGGATGCTGATCGTGAGCATGCCGAGTGAGTTGCGTGAAATGCTGGGTGGCAGATGCAAGAAAGAAGAGGTGTATTGTAACAGTTATGCCAAGTTCGTGAACGCTGTGAGTATGTGTCAGGAATGTAACGGACGGCTGTTTGCGGTTGAAGTCGGGGCGAGCCTTGCGCCTTACAGAAATCTGTTGAGCAAAGTGGGTATGCATTGTGTGTACTTGGCTGTGCTCGGAACGCATGTGATTACCAACTGTAGTGAGCTGAAGGAGAGAGTGGAGAGAAGCGAGAGTGTGAAGCCAGACAGCGACAAAACCTATGCCCTAAAGGCGGTGTCGAACTTGTTCGTGGCAGCTGTGATGGATTGGAAGCGAGGCCGGGATCAAGTTGTGACCGCGACGTGTGTGCATGCCGTTGAGGATTTGAGAAATGGGGAAGGGATGTCGGATCAGAAGATTATGGTGCTCTTAAGGAAGTGCCATGAAAACTTAGGGCACCCGTCCCCAGCCAGACTTGGGTTGTTGTTGAAGGCAGCGCATGCGAGTGATCGGGTGTTGCGGTTGGCGCGTGGCTTGACTTGTGAAGCTTGTGATTCCTTGACACGTCCCAAAAGCCACAATGTGACCAAAATCCGTCGAGCAACGGAGTTCAATCAGCAAGTGTGCTTGGACACGTTTGAGCTTGAGGTAAGAGGGTCGAAGTTGAACTTCTTGAACATTTGTGATGAAGGAACCTCGTATCAGCTTTGTGTGCCGTTGTGGAAAGGAAAGCAGGCAAAACATGTGAGGAATGCCTACCGGAAGGCTTGGAAGCGATGGGCAGGAGCGCCCATCCGGGCGTTCACCGACGGAGGACCGGAGTTTGAAGCGGAGTTTGAACATGGGTTGCAGCTTGATGGAACGTTTGGTGACAAGGCCGCGGCGTATGCACCGTGGCAGAATGGGCTGACGGAGCGGAAAGGCGGTGTGTGGAAGCTGGCCTTTCAGAAGGCCGTTGTTGATGCGGTGCCGAGGTCAAAGCAGGAGGTTCAGGAGTTGGTTGACAACGTGAATGTTGCTGTCAACACGTTGACTAGGAAGGACGGTTACTCTCCTTGCCAGCATGTGTTTGGGCGTGAGTTGCGTGTGCCTGGCTTGATTTCCACGGAATATGATCCTGTGATAAACTCAGGGTTGGTGCAAGGGGAGTCGGTGTTTGAGCGGCGTATGATGTTTCGGAATGCGGCTCGGAAGGCGTTCCTTGAAGCGGACGGCGATGCCAGACTCCGAAAGGCGCTTGAGCACAGGAGCAGGCCCGAGCGTGGGCCGTTTCATGCTGGTGACTTGGTCTACTTCTGGCGTCGCCATAGATTTGAGAACAAACATCATTGGCATGGACCTGCTGTTGTAGTCGGAAGTCAGTCGTCGCGAGTGTGGATTGCGCAGGGGACAAAAGTCTATAGGTGCTGTCCTGAACAGTTAAGACGTTTGAGTCCCGAGCAAGAGGCCACAATCAAGTTGCTTCCAGCGGATGTGATCCAAGTTCGTACCGAGGTGAGTGCCCGAGGAGCTGGGACGTATCATGATATCAGTGACCAGGAGCGGCCACCTGATGACGATGAGGCAAGTGAGGAGTCTCACAACGGACAGCCCGCACCACAAGTGGGGGCGAGCGACGTGGAGCTAGATGTTGAGCCAGAGTTGCATAGCGAGGAACTGGCGGCACCCGAAGCAGAGGGCAATGAGAGTCCTCGAGAGGACGTTCCAATGCGGGAGCCGAGAGTTCCAAGTGATCATGGTGAAGAGTCGCCTTCTAAGAGGGTGCGGTTGCAGGAAGGACCTGCTGAAACTGAGTTGACAGGCATTGCGTCGAAGTGCGGATCTCCTGGATGGCGTGCAGCGTTCTTCTGTGGACCGAGGTTCCCTTGGAAGCAATGGCGTGCGTGCTGAGGATGTTCCTGTGCCGGACTTGAGTGATGAGGAGCTTGAAGTGACAGTTGAGAAGGAGTGCTTGATGGTTGAACGGACCAAGGGAAGGAAGGAGGTTGCGATGAGCAGCGTGACCAAGGAGCGACGCCCTGGGCTGGATCGCGCAAAACAAAAAGAATGGAGGAAACTGCTGGACAGCAAGGCAATCCTGGTGCACACGGGTGAGAAGGCTCGAGAAATACGAGAGAAGTATGCCAGGACTGATCAACGCACTGGCAGAAAGGAGAAGTTCATGAAGTCGCGTTTTGTGGTGACTGAAGCCGGGGAGACAGCAAGTCCTGAGACACAAGGGCTAAAAGCCAGATGGTGCATTCGGGGCTATCTGGATCCTGCTCTGATGGAGTTGGATACGAATGCGCCAACGCTAACGGCCGAGGGCTTTGCTGTGACCGCCCAGTTGATTGCGAGTCATCGTTGGTCGTTGCAGATAGCAGATGTTGAAGGAGCCTTCCTGCGGGGAGATCGACTTGAAGAAGCCCGTGGAAGGTTGTTCATTGAGATGCCGCCCGGTGGAGTTCCAGGCTATGAGGACTACGATGACTGTATCATTGAGGCAGTGAAGACGGTCTACGGCTTGGCAGATGCTCCCAAGGCATGGTGGAAGTCCTTCAGCCGGTCTTTAATCAACCTCGGTATGCGTCCCTCGAAGTTTGATCCGTGCGTGTTCTGGTACTTTCACAAAGGGAAGCTTGCTGGGACGATAGCTCTTCATGTCGATGACATGGTGTTAGGAGGCAATGCGGAGTTTCAGGAACACGTTGTGAACAAGCTTAAGCAGCAGTATCCCTTCAAGCACTGGAAAGTAGGCGCCGGTGAGTTTCTGGGAAAGATGCTTAGGCAGGAACCTTCAGGTGAAATCACGATTTGCCAGTTGGAGTATGCCTCCCAACTGCAAGGGATTAGCATCAGTGCTGAGAGACGGAGACAGAAGGGTGAAGAGCTGAGTGAGGGAGAGCGACAACAGATGCGCGCTGTCCTTGGAGCTGTGAACTGGCTTGTAGGAGGAAGCAGGCCCGATCTCGCTGCATGGTGCTCGCTGCTCCAGCAGAAGGTGTCGAAGGGCACTGTGGAGCAACTGATTGAGACGAACAAGCTGGTGACGTTAGCACGGGAAAATGCTGCGATGATGATTCGGATATTGCCGATACCGACAAGTGATATTCGCTTCGTGGTGATGTCGGATGCCTCGTGGGCGAATGCCGAAAACCGCTGCAGTCAGGCAGGATACTTGGTGGCGGCAGTAGACGACATGCTGCACAAAGGCCACTGGGGACGATTCTCACTCATGCGCTGGCGAAGCTACAAACAAGATCGTCAAGCTCACTCAACTTTGGGAGCCGAGCTACTGGCGCTCTCACGAGCAATAGCGGAAGCGAGGTGGATCAGATCGTTGTGGTGTGAAGCTATGTACGAGGGCTATCAGCTGAGTGAGGATCAGAAATGGTCCAACAGTATTCCTCTCACAGCGGTGGTGGACTGCAAGCCGGTGTATGATCATGCCCAAGCTTGTACCGTGAGCTTGAAGGACAAGAGAATGGCTATTGAGATGCTGCTTGTGAAGAATGACATCAAGGTTCACAACATATCCTTGAGATGGGTCGCGACGAGGCAGATGATAGTTGATTCTCTTACTAAGCTTGGTGCCCCGTTGAGTCTTCTTCTTAGGGTTCTTCGTGAAGCTTGTTTCATACTGAAAGAGGATGAAGTGGTGAATCAGTGGTCAGAGAAGCCAAGGCGCAAAGATTGCGCATGGTTTCGAAAGACGTCTGGTGCATGTTCACTTTTGGGGGTGTGTGAAAGTAGAACTGACACACATGCACCAGTCTGATGTCTTTCGCGAAAGCTTGATGTTGCCACTGCGAATGCATGCGCAACATTTGGACCGAATGGAAGGTCCCCCTTAGTCACGGACGCTACTTGTGTGCCATGCAAAACAGACCGTGAGCTTGTGCGGCCGCCTGAGCGCTTCGGTTGCTCAACTGTCATATTTGGGGCTTTAGTGAGGTCAAGGGTATTCGGAGTTTCATGGATGCTATGGTGGTTCAGGGACTCAAGATGAAATCCAAGATTCTGGTGCTTTGGGCCAGCATGGGCTCCGACAGCAGTATTCTTCGTGAGGGTCTGGGCTGAGGTTTAGGTCTTGGGAAATTTCATCAGACCAGGCTTTCGGGGGGATTTCATCGTATAACATATGTATGTATGTATATATATATATACATATATCAGCAGCCTGTCCAATAAATGCTACTGCTACAGTGCTACAGCTCTTTACTGTTCGTTAATATACTCATAGCATAAAGACCACAAACCCCCACTCCAGGTATCCAAGTTCCGAGAGGTTGTAGGCTTTGTTGCTGACTTCATGGTGTAGGGTTTACACGACATTGCACGACCTTCTGCATGACGATGCATGTTTTGAATGGTTCGGAGCGATTGCAGATTCAGTTCGAATGTGAAAGTCCAGCAGGCTACAAGGTTTTCAGATTAAGGCCGTGTTTGACGTTTCGTCGATGGCAGGGGGGGTCACCCCTGAGCTTTGCGCTAACGTGGCTTGATCTTGGATGGCTCCAGCCCGAAACGCGAGATGTTTGGACATGGACACGTGTTCTTCGCTGCTAGTATCACACACGCAACATGTTCCAAAGGAAGGATGGAAAGCTTCAGCGAAGCAGCTCAAAATACTGAAGAATCCTTGTACAGATGCCAGTCTTGTTTGCACAGAAACCCGTCTTCATGCTCATATATCGGTAACAGAGGTTTTTATAAAAACCTCTATGTTCATATATCGGTAACATTGAATTAGCAGTGTGTGCCTTGCGCCTCACTGTCTTCCTGTCGTCTCGGGCACCTCCGATCGCCGAAAGGGCGAGGGACTGGGGGTGTTGGCGACGCCATGGGAAACCACCACGCAGCTTAGCTGATCGCTTTAGGGGTAAATTTTTAGGGTTTGGGAGCTTCAGAAATCAGTGACCCTGGCATTGACATAGACTCTAGATAGTATAGGACTGGTCATGTAATCATTGGACCTGCGGTACGGGGCCCTCAATATTGCGAAACCGCCATCTAGGCCAACTTACGAAAGCTGGCTATTCAAAAGGCCTTCGTCCCAAACGTCCTTCCGCACCTGACAAGAAGTTCGACGTAATTGAATAAGATCCGCGTATCTATAATCTGTTGTGACCCACACAGTAGTTGGTCATGTTGTAATTTGTTGAACATACCCGTCCCCCAAACACATCCACTAGGTCGTTGTTAGGATCTCCGTAGAACCAGTTGTGTATTCAAAACGGGCCCCTCTCAAATTTGAACTGGGATGTATGTTTAAGGAAACTTGCATTCCCAATCTTCGGAGTCAACTAGAACCCCCTTCAAGATCCGGTGTAGAAGCCCTTACATAGCCGGGTCGGGCCTTGCAAAGGATCATTACAACACCCGCATGTTTCCCTTGGATGTTCAGCTTTTCGCTCTGGGGTTTCGGCTGCAGTTGTTTCCTTCTCGGGCATGAAGCATATGGGATGTTGCTTATGAAGTCAGCGGTTTAGAGTTTAGGGCCAAAGCTGTGAGCCCCAAAGCGCTCCCCTCAGTCGACGGGCCACTTCTTCAACCTCTGCGGCTGCACCGATGCATCTGGGACCCGAATTTCGGAAAGTTTAGGCCTGTAATCCAGGAATCCACGTCGGCTTTTGCCATAAGGATTAGCCAGCCAAGTCCAAAGAAGAACAGCAAGGTCAAGAGTATTGATACCCCTACAGTCATGATAGAATAGTGATGATGGTACTGCGCGACGAAGAGGACTGCGAACGACTTCTCCGACGATAGTTTTAGGTGGAAGGGTTCTTGACGACTTGAGGTTCCGGGACGTGGGCTCGTCGTGTGAGTTCATGTTGGGTTTGAGGTTTTGGTGCTTGTAGACCAAAAAAGCCTTCAGGCAACAGGTGGGTCTACTCTATTGTTATGGCTGCTTGTTGGCATGGCGCTTCTGAGCCATCGTGTCGTGGTTTTGGGCAGCAATCGGACCTTATTGGCAGAAGAGGCTTCGATGACGCAGTCATCCAAGGTCATCGGATTCGAGGGCAGCGCCAAGGTGGGGTGGGGATGGGTGGGGGTGGGTGAGGTAATTGCGTGTCACGTATCTTAAGTTTGGGCTACATGACGGTAGGATGCAATGATAGTTTGGCTCTCCCGCACAGTCCAGGTTTTTAACTGCTGAAGTCTTATGCAGACTGTTCGCTGTTTTTGGGCATTGTGGAGGTTGGAGGTCAGCTGGTGACATTCGCAAGCATTGCTTGCCCTTGGAGTTTTGCTGCTGGTCAAACTTACATTGTTTGAGTTACCGGTAACATAACGAGAAAGAGAGCATGTCATTGACTGTGCATCCCTACTCTGGTACAAGACGAAGCGGCGATTTCAGGCTCGAGGCAGTCGGTGGCAGGTGATTTCTAGTGATACTAGTGCCTAAAGAAAAATATGTAGATTAATTCAATGAAAAAAGGCAGAAAGCTCCCGATCCAAAGCAGAAAGCATCCAAGATCAGAGCCTCGTCCTGAAAGTCTAGGGACCCAGCCCCCAGGGGGTTCAAGCGGGCCATCCCAACACGCCAGAATCGCCAGGCAGTCATCAACATGTACGAAATTAAGCCTGGCACTTATCAGGGCCGCCCTCGCGGGTATAGCTGCCGGTGATAGTTGGGCTACATCGAAGTTGTCCTATTGTTTCACATCTGTGTCGGTTGACAGGCCATGAGTAGAGGCGAAGTGACTGGACGTGGTGAAGGCATGTTTTGAGCAGCGGTGAACGCAATTCAGAATGATCAACTGAAGAGTCTGTGATCTTAGCACGGAGACAGACAGGTTCTTACTTGCATGATGCAGAATGAGTCGAAAGCTGTCCTCAAGCTTCCTGTTGAGCTAAAGCCTAGACCCGCAATCTGAAGGTCTTTTGATCCCCTTGCCACGTCTACCAACTCAAACAGCGTAACTCCGCGCACAAAGCCAGCAAACCCGAACTCCAACTCGTAGTTTCCTCGAACATCCTAAACTGCAGGAGAACCGCGCAACAGTCCTTGTCGAAATCTTGCTGTGTCACTACGTAGGTCCCGAAGCCCCGAAACCTGCCAAGAGTCCAAGGCATGAGGAACCAGGCGACGACCAACGTCCCCCAAGTGCGTAATATAGGGCGTTGAATAGTTATCAAGATTATTCCGTAGCTTGTCCTTAGGACATACTGTATCAACAACCCCAAAACCCCAGTCTAACTGTTAAGGCCTGTATGTTGCACCGTACCTGTGTCTCCAGCTGCTTGTCATTTTGGGGTAGTTGCTTGCCATTTTGCAGGGCGTGGCTACAGATATGGCCTACCCTGACCTGCCATGGTGTACTTTGTTGTAGGGGCCCCAAGAACTTTCTATGCAGGTCCATGATACGAACCTACCTGTTAGTACTCAAGCCGAGGCCGTGGAACGCAAGGAGTCTGATCCGCGACAATTTGAACAAACAGGCCTCGGAGAGAGGAGAGACGTGGAAGCTGAGAGGAGTTAGTTCGGCTCAGGGGCGGTTTTGGGTTTAGGGTGCATCACAAGTATCAGAACCTGCACGCACGCCCGGTGATCTGCGCGGCAACCATCACCACTGAAATAGAGCTTTGGATTTGGGGCTCATGGTTTACGGCCAAGTCCTTGTATGAGCAGACCCTAAACCCTGCTGGACAAGAAAGCTGTTGTGTTTAGGTCCCGGTTTTTGTGGTAGGGGCACGGAGTCTTGCCGTAATCAAGGCAGACCTTGCACGGAAGTCTCCGCTACGGAAGGTGCCCATCATGGCCTCCTGACTTAATCTTCAACTTGAGGGTTTCAACGTTTTGGGAAGTTTTGGGTTCGGGGCTTTAAACTTTAGTGGGTGAAAGGTTGAGTTAGGGGTTTCTGGTGCAGTGATTTGTGTTTCTCTGCACTGCAGCTTTCGCCGGTTGCTCTCTCAGGTTTTCGGCAGAGGCTGGATTGAACATTGAACAAAGGCTAATCCTTCGACCCTCCCTGGGACCTAGGTAGGCCTCAATCATTACCGCTTAGGTTTGCGCTTGCAGGTTTTTCGGGCTGCAGATTCGCGGGGCTTGGGCTTCGGGTTTTGTGTTGCAGGCCTTGTCCTTAAATCCGGAAGTCTTGTTTGGGCTATTACTTTTACCTTTGTTACGTGAGGTTTCCTGTAGTTATACATGAAATTGACTTCATGTTTTGGGTTAGTGTGCATCGTGCCTCGTTGAGCTTTGGTTTGGTTGGATATTGAAGCCTAACGATAGCGAAGTTTGAGAGATCTTGGAACAGACACCTACGATAGTACGTGCGTTCTCCTTATTAAAGGTGTTCTTCTAGAGTAAATTCAGGGTCAGGGTATGTGGCCCCTTTGTATCCCTAAGCCTAAACCTCAAGCCCTCAGCCCGAAACCCTAAATCGTACCCCCAAAGCAGGGATGCTTAGAGCAACGCCCTCCGAGGACGGGTTGGAATACTTCCAGAGGCAGATCAAAAGCTCGATGTGCCTGGCCTTGGCATTTTTGTTGTTCGGGCTTTGGGGGCCTGGGGGCTGAGGGGTTTAGGGCTTGTGTTTTGGGGAAGAAGGCTTAGGGCAAGAGAAGGATTGGGCTTGAGGTTGGAGGTAGGATTCCGGAGTTCCAGGCTTTACGTTTATCGGTTGTGAGTTTTGGGATTCAAGGCTCAGGTGCTTGTGGTTTAGGTTTTAGACATTTTTTGGCGTATAGTCTTGTGTTACAGGGTTTCGGGCAAGGGCTCAGGCGTCTTGTCATTGTCAATCGGGGCTCCCCACCGCAAGATGGGTTGGCTGAGTCTTTATCGTTTATTGGCTTTCTGCCGGGCCCAGGAGAGCTCAAGTTTAACCCTGGAAGCACAAGCCAGGCCATTTTCATGATCCAAAACTTTCCCAAAGCCAACAAGAAGTTATTGCTGTCATAGTTGCTGTGTTCATCATGGTTCATGTTGTAGTTACTGTCATGCCTGGTTTATTCATGCGCTTGTTTTGACAGACAGTCTTGCCTTCTACCCGTATATGTTAACGTTATTCAACAAACACAGCCATGAACCTGAACAAAAGAGCATAACAACAACCAGACTAAAGCCTGAACCCTACAGCGGTTTATTGTAATCCCAAACCCCTAAACCCCTAACCCTTAAACCCCTAAGCCCTAAACCCTAAACTCCCAAACCCCGAGCCCATTCTTCGAGCCGCTGCCCCGAGGTTCGGCTCCCGTGAGTTGACGAAGGATCGCTTCATCGCCCCTCGGCCGCAAGGACTCTGAGGCCCGGGCAGTCATTATTTTTCGGTTTAGGGTTTTACTGGTTTGGGATTTTTAGAAGTTCCGAAGTTG